AAAATCTAAACAGCACTGATTATGACAAAGACGTGGCCTATGAAAGAAAAAGTTGCCAATCTGGACTTAACTAAACTTATATTTTTCTGCTTTGCAAAATTCAATGCCAAGAAAATAAAAAGAAGGGCCACAGATTGTAAGAAAATATTTGCAGAAGCCATATCCAATAAAAGACTGTTGTCCAAGGGCTGAGGCTGAGTACTTGCCTAGCATGCCCAAGGCCCAGCTTGGGGGAAGAGGGGATCATATATAAATATAAATGATATAAATATAAATACAAATATTATAAATATAAAATAAAGAATGTAAATGTAAATACTGCTGAAGAGAAAACATCCTTATTAAAATATAGACCAAACACCCAAAGAAACACTGCACTTAGAAGAGATACAGAGCCAGATAGTGGTGGTGCACACCTTTAATCCCAGCAATTGGGAAGCAGAGGCAGGTGGATCTCTATGAGTTCCAGGACAGACAGAGCTATACAGAGGAAGCCTGTCTTGAAAAAAACGAAAAGAAGAAATACACATGGCAAACGACTTGTAGAAGATACTCATTAGGGAAATACAATGGGGTACCACTGCATGCCTACTAGAGTGACCAAATTATGGATGAGACAACACCTCAGTGGACAAAAGCACTGGCTGCACAAGCCAGAGGACCCTAGTTCAAAGCTCTCACACTGCATTGGGTGGAGACAGGACAATGGCCACCAGCCTAGCTCCAGGTTAGTGAGAGACTCTGTCTTCAAGGGAATAAGATGAAGCATGGTAGAGCAGAACACCCAATGTCCTCCTCTGACCTCTCTACATGCACAACTGTGCACACTCACCCATATATATGTGCACACATATACCACACAAACTCTTAGTTTGCTTTTTATGTCTGTGATAAAGACTATGACCAGAGACAACTTGGGGAAGAAAAGGTTTACTTGGTTTACACTTCCAGATCACTGTCTGTCATCAAGGGAAATCAGGGTCAGAACTCAAGGCAGAAACTAGGAGGTGGGAACTGAGGCAGAGGCTATAGAAGAATGCTGCTTACTGGTTTGCTACTCATGACTTGCTCATTTTGCTTTTCTGTATGACCCAGAACCACCTTTCCAGTGGTGGTGTCACCCACAATAAACTAGGCCCTCCAACATTAATCATTTAAAATACAGCATCCGAGGTCACATGCACAGATGGCTGGGGCCAGGGAGTGGTCTGTGTTTCAGAGCCTGTGTCTCAGATAGTATACTCAGGGTGGCCGAAATAAACCCTGCCCCTTCTGCATGCACTGCGCCATTTCCTATTCCAGTTTTCTTTTTCAAAATGTGGATCACATCCTCCAAACCAATTTTTCAACTCATTAGTAGGCCATCATCTGCAACTGGAAGCCTCCTGCCCACATCTTCAGGATGAGCTAGGACCAGGGCACCTAGCCTGTGATTCCTAACACCTGCTCTGCATCCCTGACCCACTCTCAGCCCTCCTTTTCCTATTTTCTTCCCTTCAAACTGGACTAGCAGCAGGTACAACCCAATCTCTTTCCCACATGTAAACTGACAGCTTCAGGGCAGCTCAGGGTTTTCTTTGAGCTGGGGAGCTGAGAGGGGGTTACCTACTCTCCCTGGTGGAGATCATTAGGATGCAGCAGGCAGAGAAGCCTCAGCTAGGCTGAGCTTTCATTTCCAAAGGTTGGGCTGGGAGCTGGGAGATTGCACAGATAGGGGAATGCTATGTCGCTCAAGGCTAATACGATTTCTGTTTGTCTAGCAGCTAAGCACCTTAACCCTTGCTGATGCTGGTGCCTGGGAAACAACCCACAGGTAGGTGGGCCTGCTGATGTGGAAAGTATGTGCTTAATAATTATAAATAATTTGTTCTCATATATATCTTCCAAGCCCAAGCTAAAGACTTTCTCTGCATTGAATTTGATCCAGTCCGGTTCCTTGGAAGGTTACTATCCTGGAACATCACATTTTATAGATGAAGACATGGAGACCCAGAAGCCAAAAGTGACTTGCCCAGTCTCAGCATAGCTGGGAGGGAGAGTGCAGGGAGTGGTTTTACTTTATGAAAGAGATACTCAAGGGTCTTGGGTGAGAGGCATCAGAAACCTCAGCATCCAGGAGCCTTGGATTCATAGTGTGTCTTGATGGTCTTGGGTAGACATGCTGGGCTTCTGATTGAATAACCTCCTCATGTCATTCTGCTTAGGACTCCACATTTGGCCCTGCATCTTGATACTAGGCCTTTTGTGGTAAGAAAAAGTGGCTTATATACATTTTTCTAGTGATCCAACGATTCTGAAGCTTACCCATTGATTGTGTTGGCTTGCTAAGAAGATATCGGAATCACCCACAACAGCTCAGTTTGATCCTTTCCTCTCATGCCCTACCCTGTGCTTTCTTTGTGTAGAGGGCTCAGGTCTGCAGGGCACTTTTTCAGTGGTGGTGCTGGTGGTAGCCTTGTCTTCTTCTTTCTAACCTCACTGGCAATGTATTTAAAGAATCACTATGATGTAAGTGTTTGCTGAAGGTTTTTCTCATCAACTTTTTGAAGTTATGATGTTGATCTTCTATTTTTGGTTTGCTAAGATTGTATTTGCTGTATTTCTTTACCAATGCAGGTTAGTTAGCATTTGGTTTCTCTTTTTTTTAGTCTATTATATAGGGAGAGATGTTGACTAGTTTTTGATGTTGGACCAACTTTGTATCTCTAGGAAAAACCTTACTTGGACATAATTCATTATTTTAAAATTTCCTGGCCAATTCTAAAATGACCCTAAATATTTCTGCCACTTTATGTTTATGTAAAATGGCATTTGATGGGGGTAGTCCTTCTATGTATATGTTGATGAATAAAGTACTGTTGGCCAATAGGGAAGCAAGATAGGTGGGACTAGGAGTCACAGAGGATTCTGAGAAATGTAGTCAAGAGTAGAGTCATCACCATGTGATCACGGGGAGAGGACTCATGAGGCTGCATCCTTGGTAAGATAAGACCTTATAAAAATATATATTAGTAATTATGGGTTAATAATTAAGTCAGAGCTAGCCGATAAGAAACCAGGGAAATGGCCAACAGATTCATAATTAATATAGTGTCTCGTGTGTTATTTGGGGGCTAAAACGGCAATAGGACCCAGGTAGCTGGCGGGAAGACTACACATTACAGGAATTCTTAGCACTGATGATTATAAAATCAGAATAACTATCAGCTGTGCAAAGTGGCAAGATGCTCTAATTTTTACAGCATTGAATATTCAGGCAAGATTTAATTCCTTACATAAAATACACAAGCACATTTATCCTTAGTAAATGGAAAATCATATATATGGCAAAGAATGGTTTTAAATACATTTATTATTAATTATCAGTAAATGTTTTATTTGCATACTTGTTTTACATACCTATATGCCCAGGGCTGCATAAAAGTTTCTTGATCCTACATGGGGTTGGGAGGGGGGAGTTTAAAAAGCCCTGAACTAATCAACAGTGTACAGCTCAGACACCTAGCTTCCTGCTTTGTGAGAGCCATTATGGAGGAAGCCTACCTGTCTCCTCTGGCATTTCCTTGGAAGACTTCCACTTCCTCCTCCTCCTCCTCCTCCTCCTCCTCCTCCTCCTCCTCCTCCTCCTCCTCCTCCTCCTCCTCCTCCTCCTCCAGGAGCATTCTGATGTTGTTGCCCTGGACACTTACGGCCTGCTCTGCCAGTGGGAGGTGTTCCTGTTCACAGGCAGCTCCCCAGGATGATGAGCACCCGGCAGAGGGCCAAGACCTTCCCTGCCTCTGCTCCTGGTGCACACAGCCCTAACTGCTTAGCATATTCGCTTGTGCACAGCTAAGCACATGGCGGAAAGGCCAGAGAGGCACAGGTCAGAGGCTTCATCTCAGACTCTAGCCTGAGCAGAAGCCTTGGTTCTGATCTTCACCTTCTTGGGAGCGGGTGCCTATCTGCAAGGATAAAATAGAACTTTGGGCCCTTGCCTTCTTGCTCTTATCTGTCTATATGTTTGGAGGGGAAAGGTGGGGGGTGCCTAGAGCCCTAAGCCCCCTAATAAACCTTAAGGCCTAAAAATATCAACATATGAAGCCTAAGAACAGGGCAGACGACCTCAAATACACTTCTAGGGGAAGAAGCATGTAACTAAAAAAATGTCTTTGGATACTACAAAACAAAGTGAAAAAACAAAAAGATAAGTCTTGAAAAATTCAAATTGAAAAAGTACGTGTTACTGAAGAAGCACAAATGGTTATCTGTGAAATACATCACCAAATGCTGCTTGGAGTTTGGGGTCTAGACTCTATTCTAGATGCAAAGGCCAAGGCAGACCCTCCACAATCCTTGCTATAGGGACACAGCTCTTACCAACCACACAGTGGTGAGAGATCCAGCTCTCTCAGAGGTAAGGGACAAGGTAGCATCCCAGAAGACAGTTGCCAGGTGCCCCTGGATGTTGGTAAGGATACTCCAGGCCCATGCACTCAGGAAAGGGAGAATTCAGTCCAGTCATATGCCCCATTGCTGAGCTAAATAGTGTTGAGAGCCCATAAGGTATCTGCTGGACTCGGGCACTTAGCCCAAGCATCCTCTTCATCTTTATCTCTCACTTCCTGTGTCATCCCTTTCTGCTCCTCCATCCTTTTCATCCCTGCCTGTTTTCTCATCTCATCCTACCACTCCCTCAGTCTCTTCTCCCTTTCTGTATCCCTCTCCCTTCTCATATTCTTTCTACCAGAAGTCTTTACCACTTAACAGAGGGTGAAAACATAGTCCAGACCCTTCTGAGGCTCCCCAAGTTTGCTGAATGGTTGAGCGGGCAGGCCCTTTGCCATGAGACATTTGTTCACCAGAATGGTAGATCCAGGCTTACTCCTGCCACTGAGGATGCTCTGAGTTGGGGCTAACAAGATTCCAAGAACCTGGCCTGAAACTAGCTGTGGGGGTCCTCTGGCCTTCTTGGAGTCAAAGCTGGGCCTGTCCCACCCACCACCGCCTCACCCAGATGCTGGAGGCAGGCGTGTTTATTGAAGGGTGGTGGGAGACTAGGAGGTAGGGCTGGGTGTGGGGAGGGCATCTCTGGCTCTTCCAGCATCACTTCTTAGAACCTGACTTCTTCCAGCTGCCTGTCTTCTTACTGCTCCTCCTGTTCTTGATGGAAGGCTGCAGGTCCACTTCAGGCTGATTTAACCTAAATATGCGACAGGGAGAAGCAGGCCCTGTGCAGCAAGAAGCAGGCAGGGAGCCTGGTCCAGCTGATGAGGGCATGGCCCTAAAGGGAGAGTGGCAAGGGACAGTTCCAACTTGGGAGCCCAGTGGCACCAATAGCCTAATCTCAGCACTTTCCCATCTTTGTGGAGTGACACTACAGAATTTTGATTTGGTTCCCTGTCACCATCACCAAGAAACTTGGTGTTGGGGGCAGCCTCATCCTTCTGACAGATGGGTCTAGACCATGGGGCCTTGCTGCAAAGTGTCCCCTGGTACACAACCCTGACACCTAGTGGGACACTGCAAAACGAGCTGGAAATCAGGAGCTGACCTGTATCCGGAGGGACACAGATTTCCAAGGCATAAGCCATGCCATGGTAACCTTAGTGGCCTGTGATTAAACTAGGAATCCTATAGTGAGCCATCTCTTATCTGCCAACTAGTGTCATAGGGAAAACATACTTGTCAGGGGGGGTAGAAGGTGTTTTCTCCATTTTGTCCCCAAGTGCCAACGAAGAGATACTTCCTTCGAAATCTTCAGATGGGGCTCTTTTAGCTGACTCAGGATCATCCAAGCTTGCGATATAGGTTGACATGCTGCAGGGAGGGGTGGTAAGAAGTCATAGCATTGGGAGTCAGAAGTGAGAGCCCAGGGTCCAATCAGTGCTATCCTACCCTGTCCCAGTCCATAGATAGACTAGCAAAACACTCTTCCTCCCAGTTGTGCCAAGGGAGAAACTGTCTGCTCTGGGAACCTGGGAAGTCAGTTTCTTGGCTTCTGTGAAGGGTTGCATAGCCCTCATTCCCATGCTACCAGCTACCTGGTCCATGCTATACTGAGCACAAGTGATGCCTGCAGGATACAGAGGACTTTGCAAAGCAGCAAAGGAAAGTCAAGTGCAGGCCAAGGAAATGATGCACATGAATCTGTGGAGCATGGCACCTTGCTGCAAACACCTCTCCTTTCTAGTCCCTGGCCACCTCCTGTTGTGACTCAGCTGGTCCTGCCTCATCTAAGGTGGGCAGAAAAATGGGCACAGTACAGTGGCCCAGGGGTGAAGAGCTCTCTCACAGCTGGTAGCACTCACAGTACACCAAGCCTTCACTTGGTGTTCATAAAGATCATGACTATTCACAAACCCTTTGAGGTTCTCACACCAGCATTTGCATACCATATTATCTTTACGAGGTTTCACTCCAGTCTGAACGTTACAGGGTACTTGACAGTTTATAAGATGCTTTGTCCTTCATAGATTGCCATGTAGTTTACCAAGTGCTGTGCAAGATAGGGCACTTCAGAGATGACTGGGAACTGTGCAGGGTATGTGACAGCTTGCATAGTGCTCTGCTGCTGCTTAGGATGAGCTGGTCTGAGAGGAGGCCCAACAGTTTCTGAAACCCTTCCTAGTGCACAGGGCACTCAGCAGTTCCCATTGCCCATGGTGACTTATCAGGGATGTGACAATTTACTAAGGACTTTGTCTCTCACCCATCTCATGACCATTTGCAAGGTTTTCTGTGGTCCACTGAGCACATTACAGTTTACACATCATTCAGCTTATGGGGCCAAGACTGTTTTCGAAGCACGTTTATCACTGCAGTGTGTGGCCATTTCTGACAGATTTTGATTGTCTCCTGTAAGAGCAGCCTTGAAAAGGTTATGTCCCATTCCTTCAGGACATGACTGAAGACAAAGGTCATCGTTGCGGTGTAGCCTGGACTTATTTCCTATTCAAAACACATCCTTTTCCTTGCTGATCCTCAATCTCTCCTTCTGTAAAGTATATGTGCTGTGCCAAGGGCTCCTAGATCAGGGTCCTGGGTCACTTTTCTGTACACAGCCACCCATCCAGACTCTAGCAAAATAGAGCAGAGAACTAGGAGCCCACAGTTCCACACTCCTCCCCCTGATGAGCATGCCATGTCCTACAGGCAGCAAAGGATGTCATAGACACACTTGTGTTATACAGTTGTATATTTTGCTGCTACAAAAGAAAAGAAAGGGAAAAAAAGCCTGACCAAAATCTCCCCAACTTAAATCCTATAGCAACCAAGGACAGATACAAACTCTTTCATATGTCCCTGCTTCTACAGTCTTCTCAACCTGGTTGTGAACTTTTAGCAACTTTTGGGGGAACTAAGGATTCTTCTCCCTCCTCAACCAGATTTAGCCACTCTTCCCTGATTGGTCCTATTTTTTCACTTTATTTGCAAACCCACATTCAACCAATCAGGGTCCAGTGGGTACCCAGTACAATCAGACATTCTGGGCTTTTCAGAGACAGAACTGCTGCAGGAACGAGGGAGGAAGAAGAAAAGAAAGACTTCAGGTTTGGCTCCAGCTGCCCTCAATGAAGGCTGCCTTTAAGACAGGCGGGGACAGAATTGTTCCTATGCAGGAAATTCATTTGAGCCAGCCTCCAAAACATGACTAGTAGCTGTAGGCAGGAGGACTCTTTTCTGCCTCAGCCTCCAAGATTCTATATTTCTAAGAGGTCATCATCCTTCTGCCACCAAGAATTCAAACCTGATCCATTTAAATTGTCAAAATTCTTGTACCAACCTGTTTAAAGTTGTTTTATCCATTTGAAGCTGTTAACCCCAAATTGGCAATAAAGCAATAACCATGTTGGTTGTTTCCACTGGCTGTCCATTCCATTCTTGGAGGAAGGTAGGATAAGAACCCAGTTGAAGGGAGACAGGAGATGTTTCCACCGGCCATTTCACTGCTTCATATACCCACATACCTTCTGGGACTGTGTTTCCAGGAGACAAACTTTTCTCTATTTTGTCTGTTCTCCCATCCCCTTAGCCTCCCTGGATATCTCACACTGCCCTATCCTGGTCCCTCTTGTACCTCATCCTCACTGGAATGTGAACATGGCAGGGTAACAGCTCTCTGCTCACAAACACAGATAGTGGAGCCTGCACACCATATATGACCTCTCTTAGCTGTCCCCATCCATGGAGAAGGAGGCAGGGGCTAACTGTGAGCATTGTGTGCAGATGGACACAATATCACTTAGGGCTGCGCATGTCAGGACTACAATCTACACATGCTTCCCACTGAGACTGTCTGGTTACAGGCCTGCTGTGCCCTTCCACCTAGGACCCAGAGGCTTGGGCTAGGGGGCTGAGCTCTGGGCTCACAGATAAATTTTCATAAATCATATCCTTTGTCTTATAGCTTTCCATAAACTATAAGGTGGCCACAAGCACAGTGGGGAATATAATTAGACACCTTCCCATTTGTTTAAACTGTAAATAAATTCATCTTCCCTTCCTGTTTCCTATTATCTTTTAAATACAGGGAATCTAAGATGCTGAGTTTATAGACATAAATGCCCAGTGTGAGACCCAACATATCTCTGGCACATTCTTTTTTAACTGTGAACAGCTCCTGAGATTCAGCTTTATAACTCCCTGGATTTGCCAATGTCTGGTCTCCAGCAACTCTACCCTCTTCTCTTGGTGTTCTGAGTGTTCTGAGTCCCCATCACTCAGAACACCCGGGGTTTTCTGTCTGTCTGCCTTATCCCCCACAAACTCCTCCTCTTCCAGCCTCTACACTGAGTATTCCAAAATATTGGGATCACTTGGCATGACCTCCATGAATTTTCCATGAATGGATCCCCAACCTCAGGGTGAAGCAGACTGACAAAAACCCAACTCAGCTTCCTGGGATGAGCTGGCATCAAGATAGAAAGCTACAGCCAGGTATGGTGGCATAAACCTTTAACCCCAGCATTTAGGATTAAAGATGGATCTCTTAGTTTGAGGCCAGCCTGGTCTACAGAACAAGTTCCAAGACAGGCAGGGATACACAGAGAAACCCTGTCTTGAAAGCCCAAGCAACTAACCAAACAAACAAACAAAAAGATAGAAAACTGCAGGTCTGTGTGGGAATGGGGGAGTTAACTTGGTGCTATAGGGTGTGCCACAGTAGCTCAGCTCTGCATGCAGATGTTACAGATGACAGTATCCTGGTTTTCATCATTGTTTACCACGTAGAGAGCTTGTTAACAAATACTCTTGTGAAATCCTTACAGTTCTGTGAGGCTGAATATTACCTTCATTTTAAAAATAAAGAGCTAAAGACCTGGGAGCCCACCTGATCAGTTCACCTGCCAGTCACCCAGATAATGCAAGGCAAAGCCAGGGCTCCAGCCTTGTCTTAGGACCTCTAACCTAGCAAGCTTCTCAGGAACCTGCACTGTAGGGCACAGTGGAATTTGGAATCTGCTAGTCTTTCTCGAATGCAGACTTTAGCATAAAGCCCAGGCCCCTCCTGGACTAGACTAGAGTGTCCTGAGCTCAGACACTTTACAACTCACCAGAGATGCTTAGGAGGTGGCAGCACCTTAGTTGGATGCTCATACCTAAGCCTACTCCACCAGTGACTGTGACTGTGAGATCTACCTGGCAACCCAACAGAAGTCAAGCTGAATGTGCATACAGGTTGGAACTGATGGGTGTGACTGGACTCCTGCCCCCAAGACATCTTTCCACTATCTCCAGCTGAGTAGGGCACCATGCAAACAAGCAGTGCCTTCTTTTCCCCACACAGCCCTTTCTCCAAACTTAGACTCAAAGAGACAAACAGCATGACCATGTTCACCTCTTCCTGCTTGCTCTCCTCTTCCCCTGCCAACCTACAAAACCCTCCTACTGTACCTTTTGCTCAGGGGACTGCAGGATGAGGCTGCACCCTACTTCCCTGTCTCTGGCTCTTCCCCACCTCACTCCTTTGGCACCAACTGCTCTCCTACTCCTGGCCTTCTCACAGCCCAAGTCTTCTGCCCCATTATTCCTTCCTTGTCCAGTTTTACTTGAATTTGTAGTTGTCTGGCAGGAAGTAGCCCATCTTGCAGTCCTGTCGAGCCCGGAAGATCTGTTTCAGCAGATTCTGCTTGCTGAAGCCATAGCCATTTAGGACACAGCCCCCAAAAAGGAGCCTCCCACCAGCAAACATCTGTTGGAAAACAGGAAAGAAATGAAATAAGAAACACTTCAGCATATTGATATAGTGGTATTACTGATAATGACAGCCAAGTTCCAAGTTTTAGTAGGACTGGCCACAGGCTCCTCAGAGCTGAGTTAGGACTCAGGCCTTTGATAGCATGGGAAAGTGTGCTAGCCTCCCTCAGCACTCCAGCGACACATGATTGAGTTTAGGCCCTGCACGGGCCCTCCTGAGTCTGAGAGAAGACCAACCTGCCCAGCTTTTGGGCCCTACTGGGGTCCTGTCAGAGGTACACTTCATACTTTCCCTAGGGAGCAGAAAGGTCATGTTCTACCCTGCTCACAGGACTCCTACCCACCTACCTACAACTACTTCAAACCCACATACTAGAATGTACCATTCAGCTCATCCTATGAAAAGGGGTCATACTTTCTACTCTATGTGTAGAGATGGTTAGGCAAGGTTATTCATCATATCATTATTATGGGGAAAAAGAAAAACAGGAAGAAGAGAGAGGGAAAGATCTCAACTGTCCAACAAAAACAGCCTGGATAGTGGTAACAAAATAGACTCAAGTCCAGTGGTAAAAATTCTGGTGCTACAAACGAAGATGTGAGACGGCTCTCTGCTATTTTATTGTAAAGACAGTGCCCTGAAAGTATGTGTGTAGAGAAAGACACTACAATGTCAGGTGGATGTGGCCTAGCAGGGGCTCCAGAACTTAAGTGCTGGATAGATGTGTAAGATCCAGGGGGTAGGAGGGTATCATTATTTTCTAGATCGTAAACCTGACTTTTCAATAAAAATATAATTTAATAACAATCAGATAAATAGAATTTGATTCTCTGTGTTAATATCACCTGACCCCTCCATCTCCTGGGATGGGGATGGGAGTCTGTTGGTTGACTCTCAGTAAATCCTGCTCTCTGGGCCTCAGCATGGGTGAAGAAGATTTGCAGGTTTTGTTTTGTCTCCCCTGCCCCACCTCCAATCTGGCTGATTGTGACTGGTGACAGATGTCTAGACCTTTACAGGGCCCCTGCTCACCAAAACCATCCCGTGTACCACAGCAAACTTCTTCATCATTAGGGGTGGATCCTTCTGCAAGGGGCTGTCCAGGTCATACCGCAGCAGACGGTAAGGATCATGCCGGCACTGCCAAATAGAGATGTGGAAACTGGTCACCCTGATGCAAGAAGACACAAATAAACTTCCCTGCAGCCATCACCGTCCCCAGAGGAGGTCTCCAGATCTGCTCTGAGCCCTCTGTGGAGGAAGTCATCACTAGAGTGACTCCTCTTCATGTGACAGCACTAGTTTTGCCCTGGGATCTGTGAAATATGGTGTACTTCACTCTGAAAGGTCTAAAGATGGGAGTCCTGCTCCAAGTGGACCAGCCTTAGGAAGCTGTGCTGCACAGCCAGAGCAGCCTTGCACCCACCTCTCACTAGCTGCCCCTCTTGACACCTCTGTGGTGCTTAACCACTGTGGGATGAGAGCCCTGATGACTAACTGTTAGTCAGAGCAGAAGCCAGGTCTCTGTGAAGTCCACCACTACCCTCCAAGCCTATCTACAGACCCAATGCCATTCCTTCCATCCCCTCCAACTACTTCAGGTCAGATTTTGGCCCAATTCACACTGCTTATGCCTGGAATAAGACACCTAACACATTTTATTCCTTAGTGAACAATTAATAGCCCCAGATGAACTACAGTCAACTGTGCATTCCCATGAGGATAGGGATTATATTTGCCATGAAACAGATGAGCCCAGAGCAGGTTCTCAGTGAACATTCTCTAAGTTGAAGTAAGCTGGAAATGAAATGCATGAAACAAGTGTAGCTATGCTACAGGGCTGGGTGAAAGGCTTGTGGCTGGCTGCTCTCTTGGAAAGAGCCAAGGCAAGAGCCCTGGTGAAGAAAGAATATATGATTTTAGAAGGGCCTTAACAGCTGAGCTCCTGAAATTGGCTGGCAGGCAGCACTCCTAGAAAGAACTGCTAGAGGGAGTGCTCAGGCAGATTTCCCACACAAATTCAGAACTCTGCAGTAGCAGAGGGGTGTAGGGCAGGGGTAATGCCACAGGCTCAAGTAGAGGACAGCTTGGAAGAAGCCACTTGATCCACATGTCCACATAAGTCTAGGGGTTCAGCCTTTCACCTTCTCTAACATTGTTTTTGAATGAAGGCACACTCAAGATGAAGAGGCTGGACTTGGGAACAACCCGAGAGGAAGGAGGGAGGTTCCCTGTGTCCTCCAACAGCCTTTAGACTTAAATTGGAACCTCAAACTGTCCTCATCCCTACACAGGCCACCTCCAGGTGTACTCAGTTGCCTGCCAAAGCCCTGAGCATCCTAACAAGCTCGCTCTGACCCTAGGAGACAGAAGTCATACATTCCAGAGCTGTCCTGTCTTGGCCCTCTCAAAGGCCTGCTGTAGCTGCAGCCATACTTGGAATTCCTTCAGGGATTGTCTGAACCAGTAATAGGTGTCCAGAGCCTGACATAGCCCAGCATGTAGAGGGACTTGGGGACAGTCCATGAACATAATAATGAACTGTAAGAACATGGGTGGTGGGCACTGTCTTTGCCCTGAACATTCACACCAATTGTGAACACAACTGCGCTAAGTTCTCTGAAAGAAAAGTACTGTGCCTTGACCTTGTCTCAATGGACAGAAGAAGCACCTGCCCTGATGTGGTGACATTCACCCTGGGAGAGAAGAATGAGCAGAAGAGAGAAGATGGGACAAAATTCTGCAGACAGAAAGGGTAGTGTATGCCAAGGCCCTGGAAAGAAAAGGAACTGTCAAGACACCCAACGCATCCTCATACAGTGGGGGCTATATTTGGTTCTGTTCCCCGGCCCTGGCCCAAGGGGCCTCCTCACTGGATTCTGGACCAACCTGGATGCAGGGTGAGGAACGGCCCTGCTGTCGATGGCTATACAGTGAGTCCAACAGCCACTGCAGCTGTGCAGTACAGTTGGGATTCTGGCCCGACATTATCCCGAATACCAGCACTTGGTTGGGGTCTCGGGGTGCAGACAGGAAGCGCTCTAGCTCCAAGTCGGACACCAGGGGTGCCTTCACAATACACTTGCAGCCGGCCCGGATGTCTTCCTTGCGAATGAGCCTCCGCAGCACCAGTGGGCAGTCATAGGGTGAGGCTGCCCACCTGGTGGGGCTGCGGACCTCTCCCAGCTTCCCTCTACAAAGAGGAGCACAGTGGTAGGAGGAGCCTGTGGGCAGGCTTCAACCTCTGCCCCTACTGCTGTTATTTCTAGACAGAAAGGGGCCCACTGCCACGCCAGGGCTGAAGACAGATCCTTGTCCAGTCAGTCCCTCAGGGGAGGGACCCCTAACCATTCCAGGTCTTGGCTTCTTCATGTGCAAAAGAAGGCATAAGAAGTTATTCAGTTAACATTTCAGAACCATCCATGAATCCCACCCACAAACCTCTTCCCCAGTTTACAGATCTAGAATCTAACAGCTCTCCACTAACACCAACATAGTTCAGCCTCTGATCATTTCTTAAGTAGTCCCTAAGGATCTATGCTTTCCTCCCTGGTCACTCTTGAAGCCACTGAGGGATTCTGTCAGAATCTGAATCAGTCTCTGGAACCCTCCTTGGGCTTACTAGCTTGATTTCAGTTAAGGCAGCAGCAGGCTGTGTCAGATCTAGCTCCTGCTTCTCATTCCCCTAAGGCTGTCTCATACCTTCCAGTATTCTCACCATGCTCCTCAAGTACTCTCACATGGCCACACTGACTTCTACTTATGCCTTTGTTCGTTCCTCAGAGACACAAGCCTATTCTCTCACCAACTTTACATCTATTGAAATAGCGCCTTCCTGGTGACTTTCGAAGCACCTCAACACTCTTCCTTGCCTATTTTATCTTTCTCTCAAGCATTGCATACTGTTTAACAATGTTCTTTAGCATACTATATATTCCCCTTATTTTTTATTATACTTTCCTATCAGACTACAGATCTCAAGAGATTTGATTGGTGGAATACAATAGGAGCACCTGGCAAACCAAAGATGCGGTAGATTCAGTCAACACTCCAGCATTTTTTTTTGCTTTTTCCCCTTTTTTAAAATTTAAATTAGAAACATGAATGCTTCAAATGTCAATCCCAGCTCCCACCCTTCTCCCTCCCAGCCCCCACCCCCACCCCTATCCCCCCAGCCCAATCCCCACATCTTTTCCCAGGGAGAGTGAGGCCCTCCTTGGGGGGATCTCCAGAGTCTGTCGTTTCATCCAGGGCAGGACCTAGCCCTTCCCCATGTGTCCAGGCTGAGAGAGCATCCCTCTATGTGGAATGGGCTCCCAAAGTTCATTTGTATGCCACGGTGAACACTAATTTACTACCCAAGGCCCCAGAGATTTCTGAGGCCTCCTCACTGACACTACATTCATGGAGTTTGGATCAGTCCCCTGTTGGCCTCTTAGTCATCAGTCTGGGGTTCAAAAGCTCCCCCTTGTCCAGTCAGCTGTCTTTGTGGGTTTCACCAGCACAGTCTTGACCCCTTTGCTCATCACTCCTCCATCTCTGTCACTGGGTTCCTGCAGGTCAGTTCAGTATTTAGCTGTGAGTATATGTCTCTGCTTCCATCAGTCACTGGATGAAGGTTCTAGGATGGCATATAAGGAAGTCATCAACCTTATCATCAGGTAGGGGCTATTAATGTAGTCTCTCCGCTATTACTTAGTTTTCCAGTTGGTGTTATCATTGTAGATTTCTGGAAATCAACACTCCAGCATTTATCAGCTACCTGCTATAGTGCTGACAGTATGTAAGGTTGCATGGTGCTTAGTTAAATAAGCACTATTAGATGCAAAGCACTCTTTTAAAAAACTCCTTTCATTATTGCCATTTTATATATTTAATATTTCACAGGACCTATGGCCCTTGAGTAGGCATATCCTTGGTTAATTTTGTAGAAACCCCACAGAATAGGCAGGACAGAAACTATTATTACCGTTTACAGGTCAAATACAGAAGGCTCCTCCTATGAGGGTTAGGGTTTCCCAAGCTCAATGAAGCCTTGAATTAGCAAGGCCACAGGTTAGAACCAAGTTATCCTAAAAAGAAGAGCAATGCCTATGGTTCATCACTTGTTTAGTTTTACACATATTCGTTTTAATGTATGTGTGTTTTGCCTGCATATAGCATGTGTACAGTACACAGAAGAGGCCATTGGATCACCTGGAACTGGAGTTGCAGATGGTGTAAACCACATGTGGGTGCTGGGAATGGAACTGGGTCCTCTGCAAGAGCAACAAGCACTCAGCTGATCTCTCCAGTCACTTCTTGGTTTTTCCAGACAGGGTTTCTCTGACAGCCAGGCTGTCTTGACTTATTTTATTTTTCTGACATGGTCTTTACAGGTATCGAAGGCTGGCTTTGAACTCATGGTAATCCTCCTGCCTCAGCCTCCTTTGTGCTGGGCTTATAGCCATATACTACCATATCTAGTTTAACAATTCCTAATTCTCCAGAGGAAATAATGCTGGTAAATACTTGCTGACCAAAGCTGGTAAGAGATCTGTTTGAGGAAGAGGGGCAGAGCACAGTGATGGAGCATACATTTAGTGTACATGAGGCACTGGATTTGATTCACAACACCAAATAAATAATAAAAATAAAGGAGAATATCTCTTGTTTAAGAACCTAAACATCCATGGGGAATGTTGAATCTATTCGTCATGATTTATACCAGAATATATTCAAAGTGACTAAGTCTTTTAATGTGGGAGAATTTGATTTTACAGTTTCTTACAATTTGTAATAGTGGCAAATAGAACAAATTATCCTGCAATTTTGGAGCAAGGAAGCCTTTTGTAGCTGACTCAAAAGTCCAGAACAAAAACCAGGTATGGTGACACAAACTTGTGATCCCAATTCTTGGGAAATAGAAGCAGGAGGACCATAAATTCAAGATCATCCTAAACTACATAGGGAGTTTTAGGGCAGCCTGGGCTAGCAGCCCTGTTCCAAATGATCAAACAAAGCAAAGGGAAAAGACCTCCAAGGTAAAAACAAAATACAAAGGAGAAACTGAGGCAGGAACTCCAACCTCAGCTACTGTGAGCAATAGGTTGCTATGTGAAGATCTGAATATTGATTAGAAAAGTCAATATTCAGGGCTGGACAGATGACCCAGTGAGTGAGGTGCTCATTGTGCAAGCATAATACCTGAGTTTGGGTTCCTAGCACACATGTAAAAAGCTGGGCATGGTAGGGCACATATATAACTCCAATCCTGGAGGTGGGTGGAGGCAGACAGATCCCAGGGACTTGCTGGACAGCTAGTCTAGCTGAACTACAAGCTCCAAGTTTAGTGAGAGGCTGTTTTTCAGAAAGTATGGTGGACAATGATAGAAGAAGACACTGAAGTCAATTTGCACTGACCTCTACATGCACTGGCTTCCACATGTACACTCATAGATAAGTACACACACACGTTAACATCTGATGAAATGAGGACAAAATCGTGAATAATCAATTTACCTACAATGACTCAGAATGAGTTCTTAAAACTTTGGAAACAGGAAAGCCACCAAAAGTAGCAGGATAGGAACACATCAAAACTATTCTTCTACAAGAGTTGGCAACAAAGTTGGGGAAAGAGAGGGAGGGAGGGAGACTGGGCAGGCTGGCAGACAAGCTGACCAAATCAATCAAAACTAACCTTAGCAAACAAAGCTCAGGAACCAGAAACTGCCAGGCTTTGGGGCAAGGAAGCTGCCATTATAGCTTTCTTCTCTTCCTCTCATTCCTGATTTGTGTGGGCAATATGGACTCAGGTGTGGCTGGGTTGGCTGACCTGCCTGGGTCCTCTAAGGGATTAACTCAGGACCTGCCTTGAAAAGCCCCAACAAACATTTGTTGAAAGCACTTGTCATAGTCAGTTTCATCTGTCAAATTGACACCAGGGAAAAGAAATTGCCTCCATAGAATAATGGCATGTCTGTGGGAGTTTTTCTTTATTGCTAATTGATGTGGGGAGAGCTCAGCCCATGGTGGTTGGTGCCATCTCTAGGCAAGCGGACTTGGGCTGTCTAAGAGAGGTAGCTGAGCAAGCCAGGGAAAGCAAATCATTAAGCAGTGTCCCTCCATGATCTCTGCTTCTGTTCCTATCTTCCCTCAGAAGTGAACTGTAACCTATATGCCAAATAAATCCTTTCCTCCCTGTGGTGGCTTGAAGGAAAATGATCCCCATAAGGAGCAGTACTATTAGGAGATGTGGCTTTGTTGGAGTAGATGTGGCCTTGTTGAAGTAAGTGTGTCCCCCTTTGTGTGTGTGGAGGGGATGGATTTGAGGTCTCCTATGCTCAAGCCACACTCAGTGTGGTATATAGTCACCATAGTCACTTCCTGTTGCTTGTGATCAAGATGTAGAACTCTCAGCTCCTTTTCCAGCACCATGTCTGCCTGCATGCTGCCATGTCCTGCTATGATGATAATGGAATAAAAAGTTGTTATAATTGTAAGCCACCCAATTAAATGTTTTCTTTTATAAGAGTTGCCATTGTCATAGTGTCTTGTCACAGCAGTAGAAACCCCAACTAAGACACTCCCCCCATTTTATTTTGGTCAGTGCTTATTACAGCAACAGTGAGTGTTAACTAGAGCACACACAAAGGCAAAAAATGTCAGACATGACTTCTGTGCAAAGGAAAACACATGGGCATAGACTTTTTAAAAAGCCCCACCAGGAAAAAAACAGATGATGAGGGAAGGAGGTAGGTAGATGCCAAACAGAGGTTTTCAAGTCTCTCAAGGACGCTGAAGGATCTTGATGTCAGGTTGAAAAAGGCCCAAGAATACCTCATCTTTCACCTCTGGAGCTTTGTATAGAGTGATAAAGTTGATACACAGTTATGGATGGCCTGGGCAAAGGCTCAAAGGAGTAATGTCCCAACACAGAGCTATACAGAACAATAGCAATTTTCTGGGCCTTAGCTTCAGGGACTCTCATGTTAAATCAGTAGCTGAACACCAAACTGAGCAGAGACCTCAGTAACTAAAAAGTCCTTAGCAATAGAAAACACCACCCTTGCAAAAAGTTACTAAACAAACAAATATAGCACAAGGAACCCTAAGGAATGAGGACTGGTCTTCTATAGCTACTATATTTAAAAGGATCAGTTTTTAAGAAAAGATTATAAGGAATATACAAAGAAACTAAGAAGAACTGCTCCTTAGGAAATTTAGATATTAGACTTCCTAGAAAAGGGGCTTAAGTTAGCGTTTAGATATACTCAAAGCAACCCAGGGAACAAAAACTAAAGGAACCCAGAAAAACAGTGTCTCATCAAACAGAGGAAATCAATACAGAAATTATAAAAAGTAACGTGGTGATATTTTGTTTGTGATTTAACAAATAAAAGTTGCCTGAAGATCAGAGCGCAGAGCTAAGCTACTGGTTAGCCATAGAGGCCAAGAAGTGGTGACACACACCTTTAATCCCAGTATTTGGGAGGCAGAGGCAGACAGATGTCTGGGAGTTCAAGGCCACCCTGGGAGACAAGAGATTGATACAGTCTAAAGGAGAAACAGACAGGCAGTGATGGCTCCTGCCTTTAATCCCAGCACTAGGAGGTGGATACAGAATGATATGGCTGGGCAGAGAGAGGAATACAAGGTGAGAGGAGATAGGAGCTTATGTCATTCGGTCTGAGGATTCCTTGAGACAGGATTGCCCATTTGGTCTGAGGATTCAGTTGGGGTAAGAACTAATGGCTCATTACTCTGCTTCTCTGACCTTTCAGCATTTACCCCTATATCTGACTTGGAGTTTTTAATTATTAGAATTGGTCTTAATGCACAATGGTAGAAATGAAAAATTCAACAGTGATCTCAGCAGCAGACAGAGGAGCCAGCTACATGAAGACATAGGATGAGTATGGCAGACTCTTCACAGATAATTAAACTGTCAAGAGATAGGCAGGTGTGTGTGGTGGTACTGCAAACTCAGTATTCAAGAGGCTAAAATAGGAGAATTAAACAGTCCCAGATCAGCCTGGGCTACACTCTAAGACTCTATCTCGAAGAACAACACCACACACACACACACACACACACACACACACACACACACACACACACACACATACATACACACACACACACACAAAGACACACACACCATACTGTATACTTTTTTATTTTTTAGAGCAAGAAGAGTAACTGGAGCCCTCATACACTGCTGCTTAGTGCTGAGCTTGCTGGAACCACTGGAGAAGACCGACAATCTATACAGGAAGCTGAGCATAACTATACATACTCTGGTTCAGCAGTTTTACACCTTAACATTTGCTGATCACATAAAAGACAAATGCCAACAGCAGACCATTTTGCAGCACAAAAACCATGAATGGATGGTTTGTAGCATGATCACAGAGTAAATTGTTATAGTGATGAGAAAGAACAAATGAGTTCTGTGCATAAGGATATGGGCAAATCTCAAATCATAACACTAAATGAAAAAAAAAACCCGCACACCAAGAAAACAAACCACATACATCCATTCAAATGAAGTTAGAACAAGTTAGTCTGTGATGTTCACTCAGTGTTTGGCCCTGGGAGGAAGAAGTCAAAGACTTGATTGGCAGAGAAGGACTTCTAGGGAGCGGGTAAGGGTCTATCTATTCTTGACTTGGTGGCTACAGGGTCTGTGCACTTGAGCCATGTGAGTAGAATTTTCTAATTCTTTTATACAAATTTCACATTTTAAAATATATGTTTTACTCAGGAGGCAGAGGCATGCAGATCTCTGTGAGTTTGAGACCAGCTTGGTCTACAAGAGCTAGTTCCAGGACAGCCTCCAAAGCCACAGCGAAACCCCGTCTTGAAACCTCCACTCCAAAAAAAAAAAAAAAAAAAAACCAAAATAAAATATATACTTTAAACCTCCCCCCAAAAAAAACAAAATAAGATATATACTTTAAATTATACTTATTGATATATTTGTGAACATGCATGTGCCATGGCACACATGCAAATAAAGGTCAGAAAACAACTTGTGGGACTCAGTTCTCTTCTACCATGGAAGTTCCCAAGGATTGAACTCAGGTCATCAGACTTGATAACAAGGCCCCTTACCCACTGAGGCATCTCACCAGTGCCAAAATATACATATTTTATTTAAACTTTTAAAAATAAATCAGATAAATCTAATGAGCTTCCATTTCCAAATATGGGATAGCATCTCTAGCACAGCAAGGCTATTTGATCAATTTCCTGCTTGCTCCTGTGTTCTCGACTAATGTCACAGTTTTATTCTAAAAAAAAGATTTTTAAAAATTAGATTGATTGTGTGTGTGTATTTGTGCCACAGCACATGTGTGAAGGTTAGAGTAAAACTTTTAGGAGCCAGTTCTTTCCTGCTATGTAGGTTTCTGGGATCAAACTCTCAATTTCAGGCGTGGCCACAGGTATCTCTACTTGTTCAGCCATCCTGCCAGCCCTGTGGCCTCCTTTGTGACACCCCAGCCATACCGCTCTTACTAGCTGTCACACACGATCAGTTTACTCCTGTCCTCTGGGGCTCCGTGATGTTCTGTTTGGGCTGCTTGTTTCTCATCCTTCACCTGTCCCTGTAAGTTTCACTTTAGAAAGCTTTCCTGGTTCTCTTACTGAAGGCAGCCTGGTCAGTCCACTTCACAGTCACTCTGTCCAGAAATGGGCTCGTCTTTTCTACAGCGGAGTAGAAAGTAAGTATCCCACGCTTCAGAGGCCTGATGAGCTCTGTCATGAGGACTCAACATTTCCATGCTATGGGAAATGGCAGATGTGGTTGCGCTCCAATAGAATTTTATCAATGAATATTGGTAAGTTCCCTCTTATTTCATGTCATAAAATAGCTACTTTTTGGTTTCCCCTAAAGTATTTTAAAATTGATAAAAATTGGGCAGCCAGGCCCAATGACCAAATGCCATTATGCCACACTGTTCTGAAATCTTTTATAATTAGCCCCCATGGTCATCTGAAATGACATCATTTTTGGGCTAATGAGATGGCTTATCAGGTGAACTGACAACTCAAGTTCAATCTCTGGAACCCACATAGTGGGAGGAGAAAACTGACTCCCTTGAGGTATCCTCTGATCTCCACATGTACCCCATGGCATGTATATACCATATGCATGCACACATATCCACAATAAATGTTCAAAACTAAAATATCCCAATTAAATACATGTGTATCTCCTATCCTTCTCTACCCCTAGAGTGAGAGCTGCAAAGAGAGAGGCTTGTGTGGTTTCCACTGCATTTGTACTACCCATCACATCCCCTGGCTCTACAGAAGAAATGAAGGATTAAGCCAACCTTGATGTGACTTTGGCCTGGAGTTTGTTGCTCTTCTTTTGAACAGGGATCACGGGTGTGCATATACACTCTTCCTTCAATGTGTCTTCAATTAAGGAATCTGGTCGGGCTGACTGGGATCGCACAAGGTTTTCTCCTTGGTATAAACTTGACTTACGGGCCCGATCAGGAAAAGACCCGGATTTTAACTTGACCCGACTAGCTTCTGTGTCTTCCTTCATGGTGGGATATTCTATGGTGAACAGACCTGTCAACAGTAATGCTGTTGTCACTTTTCCAAACTACCATGTCACCTCTGCTCTTGTTTCTTGGCTCCTACCAACTGGACCATTGCAGACTACTTTAGCTCACACCTACTGACCCCTCACTGGCTCCTGACCAGTCTGCCTTGCTCTGCATCTAGCACACTGCCCTAGTCAGTAGTCAGCGCGAAAAAAACACACCTCATTTCTACTTGTTCTGCACGACCCAGCTTCAGTATTACTTTCCTCAGATGTCCTGTATTTCACTCAGCTCTATGTTCTTCATAGCACTCAACAGTGAGGTTAGGAATACCATGTGTTCCCTTTGCTCAGGTCTCTACACTGAGGCTGATTTTATCCTCTGCTTTGTTGTGTTATGGGATTTGGGGGGGTTTTTTGCCTTGCTTTTTATACTTAGTCCAGTGGAAATTTCTGAGGCCAGAGACCTACTGTTCCATTCATCTAGCAAGAATTTATTGAATGAGGATGCTAGGTATAAAGACAACCCAAGACAGGCCATTTGCCACCAAGAACAGATGGGGTGGGCAGACAAGGAGATAAATATTCACAAGGCTAGGTAACAAGAATATGTATGTATGTATGTATGTATGTATGTATGTATGTATGTATAATTTAAATTTATTTTATGTGCATTGGTGTGAAGGTGTCAGGTCCCCTAGAACTAGAGTTATAGACAGTTGTGAGCTGCCATGTGGGTACTAAGAATTGAACTTGGGTCTTCTGGAAGAGCAACCAGTGCTCTTAACCACTGAGCCATCTCTCTAGCCCTGGTGACAAGATTTATAACTAGAGCAGTGTTGAGAACCATCAGAGAGCCATGGGAACCATCAGAATGGAAGGGGGAGCCCCACTTTGTGAGGGAAGTCAATGAAGGCTCTCAAAGGTAGGCCACAAATGAACTAAGCCACTCCTGCCAAGGAGAGATTCCTTAGAGAAGCTGTATGGGGAGCATGGCTGTGGGCCCAGCCAGGATGGAACAGAGGAGGATTTGGTAGCACCTTGTTTCCAAGGCTATCAGCAGATCAGAGAGCACAGACATGAAAGGCTCCTGAAGCCTCTCACACTGGCCCAAGAGTGTCCTGGGTCTAGCAGGGACAGTTTTGTGAAGTAACTGGATTTTTCTCACCATCTGAGATCACCCGCAGAAGAGAAAGGAGCAAATGCCAGTCATAAAGATGACAGGTGGTACAAGGGACAAAGCAAAGCAGAGAGGACCCAAAGGGATGTACAAAGTCTGTGAGGGATAGAAAAGTGACCTAATTGCACTGAGACACTAAAGACACGCGGGGGAGATCTCAGAAATTAAAGTTATCTCAGTCCCAGCTGTGTGTCCTCAGGTACTCCCTTAGAAAATACTGGGTGCCCCTACCTCTCAGGAGGCTGAAGCTTAAGAGGTGGAAAGACTGAACTTCAAGACAGGTGACCCAAGATTTAAGAGGCCTTCTCGTAGGCCTGTGCACTGTTCTTCCCTTACCTGCTGCCAGCAACACGGAGTTCATAAACTGACTCACAGTCTTCTGAAACCGCTTCTTGATCTCAACCAAGGCTCTGTTTATCTTCATCATCTTATCATCCATGGTACTGATTCTGCGAATTGGCTGAAAGAAGGCAAAGGAGTTGGGGGTAGTAGTTGCCTGCCCTCAGGGAGCTGTCTGCCTTGTTCAGCAGGACTGACTCTGCTCTGAAGGTTAAGTGGCTGTTCCTTCTGCCTAGAATATACATCTCTGTCCCTCTTGGCCCAGTCCTTCCTGAGTCAGGGCCAGACCTGACTCAGATTCTCCCATTGTGGAGGACTTCTCTGATCTCCACTCTATAGTGCTTTGACTCCCATTGTACTATGTCACTACAAGACAAGTTAGCACTTAACTAAGCAATTGGGTGCATGTGTTCTGTCCCCCTAAACTGCAAGCTTCTGGGAGGTAAAGGATGGTGCCTTGGTGTCCTCTGATTTCACGCTGACGGTGTTCAGTAAATGTTACTACTTTATGAATGACTGTATGCAGAGAGGCTCCTCTGAAGTGTCCACTGCCAGTCTCTCCCTGTAGGGCATATGCATCTCTTAGAATCCTTTCACCTAGCCAGCTACCAGAGGACTGACTGGCTATGGACAACCCCTAGCTGAAAAACCATGCTTGGCCAAGGTTACAGAGACCAGTGAGTCATATACTGCACAAAGGCCTTTCACCTAGAGTTAGGATGACTCTGATGGGTCATCTGGACTTCCTGTGGTATCTCAGAAGCCTCTGCTTCATCTTCCCTGAAATCCAACCTCTGTCTTCCCTAATTCTCAAAGTAGTCATTTCCAGTAAGCTTCTGTGTGCCAGTCTTGTTTTCTGAGGAAGCTGCTCTGAATAGTCAAATGCTTCCATGGTACTGTAAAGCCATGCTCAGAACCCAGAGTTCACTGCAGTCAGTATTTTTCTCAAGAATCCTTCCCTTGTTTCCTCAGCTAGTGACTTGTTCTCTACTAAACATCCACAACTACTCATTCCCATCATGTTTGCCTGGGTCTTGTTCATTTTTTCACTTCCTTTATCCCTTGACTGGCTCCTAAGAAGCAGGTGCTATGGTTTTTCTATTGCCCTCTTAAAACAGTGGAAGTATGAGAAAGCTTCTTCTGTAGAATTTACGACTAAGGTGGAATGAGTAGACAGATATTCTGGACAAAGACTAAGCTGGTCTTTTTTCTCTGTAGACAAGATCCCTGTAAAGGATGGCCCCAGTTACTAGGTAAGTCCCAGCCTCCTTCTTAGCAGTCCTAGCCACTGCTTCTAGGCTAATTTTATTTATTAATTTGTAATTTATATCCACCCTGGTTCCAAAAAGGATCTGAAGCGGCACTCTGGGCTAATAAAGCATTTAAGTCAAAGCATCGCCTCGCTTCCAAAGTGCTGCCTAGATAGAAATATTTAGTGTGAAGCCAGGCCTTAGGGCTGTAAAAGCTGGGACTGCCATTCTGCCTGTCGCTATGATAGGTGACTCTCTCTGGGATGGGTGTCTGGGGAAACCATTTAACAAGCTTCCCAATGTCAGAGGCACTACCCTCCCCCAGTCCCAGCCTTTCTAGATGGCCATACATTTTTACAGAACCAGAGCCAAACAAGAACACATAGTGTGTTTGAAAGGACTGTGAAAATCCCAGAATGGAGTTAAAATCAGATTGGCCATCACTATACAGATAGGGAAACTTGGGCTTAACCAGAGAAGTGCCCAGGGTAAGGCCCTATGGTCTCTTCATAACCTGGGCTCTTTGCTAGATCCAATACTCTGAAAGTTTTATTGGTCCTCGAAACTTTGTCAGTTCCAAGGATCTAAGATGACCAGTTATCTGAGCCTGGGGAGTTCATGCAAAAATAACTTGAAATGCTGAACCTGATGCTCAGGACAAAGTTTGGAAATCCTGTTGCTCATAGGAAATGATTACATTTATTCATTTATTTCTGTTCATCTTGTTATAAATGTATATTATAGAATACACTGTGCATTTTTAAATAGAAGCAATTACAGACAATGCTTTTTTGGCAAGCCAGCCTTCGCTGTCACCAGTGTTTGTCATCTATAATGCAGCACGTTTTCTGAGGCCATTTTAATGCATTGGCCTGTTATCCCTATGTTAAATGCCCCCAAGATAGTCATGTTCTTTGAGTTATTGTGTCATTTTAAATAACTTTTCACCCTTCTACTGCATTGTCAGACTGTGCCTTTGTGAGCCCCTTGATGGAGACACTACCCTCGACATTTAGCACAGTCTAGGAGATATACAATGGGGGCTATTTTAATATTTAGCAGCAACATTTAAAATATCCTAAAGTTATAATTAATTCTAATAATATATTTATTTTACCCAGTATATAAAAATGATCATTTAACACACAATGAAAATTGGCAATTACTAAAGAATTTTCATTCTTTTCCCATTAAGTCTTTGAAACACAGAATGTACTTTTTACTGTGATCTTTGATCAATCAATTTGTATTCATTGCACTTCAAAGGTTCAACAGCCTTGTGCTACTTTTACTTGTGTCTGCCATATTGAACAGCACAGCTTTGGGTATCTAATTCTGGCTCACTACAGTTGTACTAAGCTAAAGCAAAATCACATTTGAATTCGTTTTCCCAGGCTTAGAATGTGCGCACAGACTTGAGAGTCATTTCATTCCGCTCTTTGGGATAGTCTTTTTGTTTGTTTGCTTTTTGTTTTTACGAGTCAGGGTTTCTCTGTATTGTTTTGGAGGCTATCGGTCCAGCCCGGCCTCAAACTCACAGAGATCCGCCTGCCTCTGCCTCCTGAGTGCTGGGATTAAAGGCGTGCGCTACCCCCCCCCTGGCGGGATAGTCTTTAAGTTGCTTATGTCATGGTTCTCATGAAACACTCAGAGATCATCAGACATAGTATGTATTTAACAATGACCATTAGAGCAAGAACCTGGAACCAAATGGACACCGGAGAGGCATCAAAATGCAAGCTTACTCATCTCAGCTCATTCATCTAGTCTACTTGCCTGCCACCTTTGCTTCCTTCCTCCCTTAGTTTCTTCTTGCTGGGGATGGAACTAGCTTCCCATGTGCTAGTTAAGCACTCTACTCTGTACTGTACCTAAACCCACTGTAGTTATAATCCTTAAAACTGATATAACTTTAGCTCACAAGCACCTGAGTGCCTTCGGTGTTTTCATGAGAACCTTGACGAACACTGTCTCTCCTCATGTCTCAGCAGCTCCCATATGCCTGTCACATGACATTAGCCAGGCTGGACTCATAATTGGCATATGTACTTTTGTCCCTTCTATTAGACTGAAAATTCTAGAGACTAGAATGAGGCTTCATTTCTACACCTCCATCAGCTACTGTGGCACACTACAAGTGTTAATAAAAGTTTGCTGAATTATTTAATAAATCAATGAAAGAGAAATGCTGCTGGAATTAAAATACAATGAGTAAATCAAGTATGAGTATTTCTTCTGTGGAGAGTATGAATCTTCTTCATATACTGTGATTCTACACTGAATACCTGCCCCATGTCTTTGTGTAACTCAAGAGTAGGCAGTTATCTCTGACAGCCTGAGAGCTTATGTCATACTATGGTAATATCCCATAGCTTAAGAGTCTCTTGGTCAGGTCCCTAGAATTTATTATCCCAGCGAGGACACCATTGAAGGGGAAAGGGATACTATTTGTAGTTCCTATAGGTGGACAAGTACAAACAGGGACTGTCACTGGGCAAACTACTTCTCGTCCTAGAAGCCAATCCCAGTAAAGCATCAACAGGGAAATTGCAGTGATCTGCTTCATTCACACAAGCTCTAGGTCATGCCAATTTTATTTCCCATGCCAAGTGTTGCCTTTTGGACACCTCATAGTTTAGGGATGGCATCGTCTTCATCTGCTCTATCTTTTCTATGATGTTGATTTGGCCCAGGCCACAGTCGGACCAATGAATGGAAAAGATTGGACTTAAAATTCTGTTTATTTTATCCCCTCAATAAAAAATGGGAAATGCAGCCACCTCTCTCTTCTTGTGGGATCTATATTCTCAGTTATGATCATCTCCACAGATACCTTAACCTGAAAGTGCTTAGTCCCTTGTATAATTGGTGTGGGATTCTCCATCGTGTATGCACATTCCCTGTGTATTTTAGTCATCTCTAGATGACTTGGAATACTAACTAGTACAATGTAGGTCTTTCATTGCTCCAGTATGTTATTCAGGGAGTGAAGCACAAGCAGTCTGTGTGTGCTTAGTTCAGACACAGTACCTTTTTCTGAGAATTTTCCATTCAGAGTTGCTTACATATGAGGATATGGAAGAGTCTTGCAAAGGAGGTTGAAAGCCCCTGAGCAGCCTTTGCTGAGACACCCTGGTCAGGGTTAGATGCCCCACCTGCTTTGCTCTACTCATTTACTTCGCCTTACCCGTTTGTCATGCACCATGCCATGGGGACAGCTTTTGGGCGACACACTGACTGTTACTGTCTCGTTCATGGAGGTGAAGGTGACAGTGATGGAGTCCTGTCCCAAGACTGTTAACTTCATTTGCTCATTAACCTGCAGATAAAGAAACCAGCACTTGTGGATTCCTGCTTCTTCCAAGCCCAAGGTACAAACCCTTCTTGGAGCTAAGATTTGTAAGCTCTTTCTGGGTCTTTTGCTAGAACTTTCATGGAGAAGACAGAATACCAGTGTCCTTTTGGAGATTACCCAAGAAAGTAGGCAATGCCTTCTTTGCCTGTTCCTTTCCTCCATTCCTTCCAACTCACTGTTGGAAACAGCTATGAAAGCAGCACAGGTGTCAGGCAGGTGAGTCAGCTTGAGTCCTATAGGCTGCACTGGGATGCCAGCTTGGGTCCTGGGTCAGACAGCTGTGACTACTCAGGCCCCAAAGGACTTCAGTCTTGTTCTATTAGCAAGCTGTTCAGTCTCTCCATCTCAAACTCTTCAACATGAAGTAGTCATGTGGCTGCTGTTCAAATGAGGTTTTTAATGACAGGAGCGTCTTTTTAAACCATAAATGTTCCTTCTCCTCCAAACTGAACAGTGTGAGAGAATGTAGAGCAGGGCAGCTCTTTTAGTTCTGAACAGTTTGCCAATTCTGAGCATTTTTCATCCAAAGTCACAGAGTGTGTGCACCCTCCACCACTGTGCACTTCTCAGTCTTCAGTGTTATGACCAACAGCATCTCTTTACCTACAGACACCCAGAGTGTTCTGAATCAAGAGACCTCTTTATTCTGCTCCTACTTCTACTAGTCCAGATATTGGACAAGTAACCAAGGCCTCATTTTCTCATTGCTGAGTCTCTGCCTCAAACATACTGTCATCTGAATCTGGCCCATCAGTACCCAAAAGACAATAAACCATGATGTGCCAAGTCTCTGGTCATCTTCAGACTTGCTGATTATTCTTACTTAAGAGGAACTACCCAATCCGGGTCTTATAGAGAAATGTAGAATAGAGATGTCTTCAGAAACTCAAGCTTTGCTTAAGGGACCAAATTCTACTCCAGTTTTGCCTCTTACCAATTGGGCAATTTAGGGAAATTGATTACCTTATCTGAGCCTGGAGACAATAATACAGTCACTCTCTGAGGGTGCTGAGCATCTTTTGTGGGCTAAAACATGTACAAAGCTTACAAATCTCCCTGGGGATGGGCCCTCTACTAAAGTCCACAGCATGGATGCTCTATAAACTCAGTCAAGGCTCCTCTTCTTAAGAGATCATTTGCTAACTGGCATGTCTGTTCTCTCCAAGTTCTTGTCCCAGGTCTGGAACAAGGTCATAAGTACCCAGAGAATTATTTCATTGAGTCATATCAACACATCTAAAGCCATAAGGGGTATAATAACATATACATGAAGATGTTATAACATGCCCATTATTTTGTATGCTAACTTAAAGATTAACTTTAAAATGCTCATATTCATTCCTGAATCCCAGGAATCTTGCAATATCCTCATCCTCATCCATTTCTACAGTTCATGCCTGGATGCTAGCATTCATCTGTTAAAATGGCTCCTGTTTAAAAACAAAACAAAATAAAAAACATTACCAATATCTTTAATTATACTAGGTCTAGCTAGTAACCTCACTAGTCATTCCACTCATTCATCTGCTGATATTTCCATTTCTAAAAAATGTATTTTTTATTATGTGTGTTGGGGGTTATATGCATGTGAATGCAGGTGTCCATGGGGGCAGGCTTTTAGATCCCCTAGAGTTGGAGTTACAAGTCATTGTGAGCCATCCAGTGTGGGTGTTAGAAACCAAACTCAGGTCCTCCAAAAGAGCAGTGCACAATCTTCAGCACTGAGTCAGCTCTTTAGCTCTGGTCTCTACCTCTTGTTAACCTTTCACATTGAGGCTGAACTGAGCATTCCAGCTCTCAGCCTAAAAACTAAGCAGCTGGCCCTACTTCTAGTAGAGCTAAACTAATCCCTAACAGGTTGACCCTCCCACAGGTAACTAAAAAGTTGAAGAAAACAAAAAACCCCAAAACAACTACTTAGTGGCTCAGAAGAGTGAGCAAAGCCAGGCAGACTTTGAAGAGCTAAAACGTAAAAAAGGATGAGCATGAGAGGAAGTTTCATCTCAAAGCTGTAGCCTAGAGGTCACAGTCATGGCTAAAACTACCACCTTCTAGTGAAGGAATTCAAAGAACAGAACAGGAGCAACAGAAGTCACAGTAAAGTATACAAAGAGTTCTGAAAGCTACTGAGTCTGAGGAGAGTCTAGAATTCTATATACAAACTTTGCCACATCTCTGACCAGTTTCTGAACCCTGCATGAGAAGACAAGTCTCGAGACAGCTTACAAGTAGAGAAATTTAAAATGCTGTGACCCAAGGTTCTGTCTATTCTTGACAGAGAAAAGGTCTTGGCTTCATCCTGACCAAGTTCTTTGCCTTTTAGAACAAGCATATCCAATACCATTCTCAGAAATGATTTCAAGATTCCACAATATAACCGTGGCAGTCTGTAACCCAAAATTCCATAGTAGCAGAGGGACTAGTAAATCATGAGCCAGTCTCTAGGCAACAGATCACTGACTGAAGCTGACCATGTTTGGCACAACCAGGACACAGAAATCTTCACACAATATACTCTGAGATACCTGATTTAGTAATATTCAAAGATGCTGTGTTAAAAGGGAAGTTCTCTGCAAAAGGATAAATATGTATATATAATAAAGAGAATTCTAGAATACTGAAATTTAAACTTTTCATAAGGTTATCATAAAAGCAAAAAGGAGAAGACAAGAAGTCAGAGAACTTGGAGACAGATCAAGAGAAATTACATGATCCTGGAAAGTAAAGAGACAAAATTAGAATGACAACAAAAAAGAGTTTGAGAGACCCATGAGATAGTCAGCAAGTAAAAGCATTAATTAAAAGAGGACCAGAGTTCAGTTCCCAGAATTCATATTAGGTATCTCACAACTGCCTGCTAGGGGATTCAATGCCCTCTCTGGCCTTCATATGGCGCGCGCGCACACACACACACACACACACACACACACACACACACACACTCCTTAAAGGTATACAATACATATAATTGGAGACTCTAAAGAATAGGAGTAAGTCTGGGACACACTTGTATTTTGTATTATTCTAGAAATGATAAAAGATTTTCCAAATTTGATTAAATGAATTTACATATACTTACAATTTAAAATGGGTTAAAAATGAATAGAATAGGATAAATATGACATTCTTAAACAAATCATCAAACTTTAATTGTCCTAGTTTGTTTCCTGTAACTGTGATAAAGACCACTTTGACTAAAAGCAAGTTTGGGAGGAAAGGGTTTGACTTACATGTCTCAATCACAGTCCATCACTGAGAGAAGCCAAAACAGGAACTCACGTATGGCAGAAACATGAAGTCAGAAACTGAAGTAGAGGCCATGGATGAATGCTACTTACTGAGTTGCTCCTCATCACTTGTTCAGCTCGCTTTCCTTTCGTTTAAAATACTTATTTTTATTTTATATGTATGGGTGTTTTGCTTATATGTATGTCTGTACACCATGTGTGTACATTGTTCATGGAGGCCAGAAGAGGGAGAAGAATCTTTTGTAACCGGAGTTACAAATGGATATTAACTGCCAAATGGATGCTGAGAATCAAACTGAGATCTTCTGGGAAAGCAGCCTATGGTTTTAATCACTTAGCCATCTCTCCAGTCCTTCAGCTTGCTTTCTTATACAACCCAGGACCACCTTGCCTAGGGATGGCAACGATTACAGTGTGTTGTGTCCTCCCACAACAATCAATAATAAAGAAAATGCCCCCCACAAACTTGCATACAGGCCAATCCAATATGGAAGTCAATTCCTTTGGGCTGGAGATATGGCTTGGTGGTTAAGAATACTCATTGCTCTTCCAAAGATCCTGAGTTCAGTTCCCAGCAACTACATGACAACTCACAACTGTCTGATAACATCTTCTGGTATACAGATGTACATGCAGACAAAGTACCCATACACATTTTAAAAAGTCAATGGCTTAATTAAGATCTCCTCTCTTCCTAGATATGTCTAGGTTTGCGTCAAAGTGACAAAAACTAACCAGTACCCTAGAGACCAAGAGAAAAACCTTTAAAAAGTAGCAACCAGAGGAAGCAAACAGATTTGGTTAACTACAGATTAGACTCTCATCCAAAACTATGGAGGGAAGACACAATGAACACTATTTTTAAAATGTTAAAAGAAAAAAGAAAGCCAACCTAGAATCTCATATACCATAAAATATCCTCTAACAATGACATTTTCACATGAAAACAACAACAAACTTAATTGCCAGATAATCTGTGTTTATAGAAAGGCCAAAGAAATTCTTCAAGTTGAAGAGAAATAATACCAGAGAGTAGCTTGGATTTGGAAGGCAAAAAGAAGGTAGTTAGAAATAGACAGTATCTGAGTTAAAACTGGTTCAAGACAGCATGCAAACTCCCCGGAGCCAGATACCTGGTGCCTGTCATCCCACCCTATGTCATCTACTCCTTTGTTCCCTTCTTCCACAGGAAGCACATATGAACTCTTAAAAGGTGCCACACCAGCTCCTCCATCACAAAGCTTTTAGGAGCAATGTTCATTCTTTCATTTTATCTAGAACCCTCCCTGTCCCCTACCTCTGAATCATACGCTGTCACTCCATGTTATAACTCATGGGCTGCTTTCTATTCCAGGCTACTTCTTGACTGCATAGACGTTTGCTGTGCAGGTCCAGGGTGAACTAAAATAAGGCATAGTGCTAAATAGCTGGGCATGAGGGTGCACACCTGTAATCCTAGCACTCAAAAGACTGAGCAGAAAGATCATTTGTTACGAGCCAACCTGTCTGCACAGATAGGCATTATTGTGCAGCAATTTCCTCTGAATTGAAACACTGTCCTAGAGGGAGGAAGGAGGCTCCAAACACTTAGGAAATGAACAAGCTTACAAATTCAGGAAAACTGAAATTTAAAAGATTTACAGGGCCCCTGCCTAGGTTATACAAGAGATAAACAACTTCTTGGGAGGAAACTGCAACCAGCTGTGCTGTCTGGAAAGACTCTGGTACCTGTCTAGCTGCCTAAAAGCTGCGTAGAGAACTCCAGGGGAATACATCTTTTGTGAGTTATTAACCATTCCAGGGATAGATGCCTGAGAATGCAGCTAGTTGTTTTTGAGTCATTTTGACTTTGTAAGTAATTCTCATGATAAGTAACTCCAGTAAACTCATTTGTTTGTCAAGCCGGCCTGTGGTAGAACCATTTCTTTGGTCATGCATTCATGCCACTATTTAGGGTGAACAGACATTTGTTCATATCGTCTCAGAAAATTCATATAATGGGTATTATAAAAAAAAACTCTAAGGTCAGCAAGATGGTTCAGTAGGTAAAGGTGCATATTGACAAGACAGACAAGTTCAAGTCTTGGGACTCACACAACAGAAGAGAACTAACTCCTGCAAAGTTGTCTCCTGACCTCTGCATATGTGTTATGGTATGACCTCGTGTGTGTGTGTGTGTGTGTGTGTGTGTGTGTGTGTGTGTGCACGCGCGCGCGCACGTATGTTTATTAAGTATGTTCCTTAGTCAAATTGCTGTCTCGCACTCTGATAACTGAATAACAATTCTGGTCTAAGAGTTACGGAGATACAGAGACAAATGAATTAAAGCCTTACTTATAGCATAAGCATGCCAAATTCTGTTTTTGTGCTAGCTGTCTGATTACACAAGTTTTTGCTTACTGAAGGTAGAATATCCAAATAGATACCTATAACATTCACTTCTGTAAACATGCTTAACCACAGTGAAATCTTCCCTCCGTAGTCATGAAACACAAAGAATACCTGCATATAGCCATGTAGGTAAGAAATTGCAAAACTGATGTAAGCCTAAAAAACTGTAAGAAATTACAAATGGGCAGCGGGACTTACAGAGCACAGGTTCAGTCCAAGCTAGATAGCATAAAAGTGAGCCTAAGTTCTCTAACTCTTCTAGTATTTCTTGGTTCTTTTCTAGCAAGTTTTCTATAACACAAAATAAATGTAATAAAATTTCTTTAAAAATAAAATTATTAAAAAATAAAGTTCTCAACTACTATAAATGTTGCTTCATTAAATGAATATTTTACAATAAAATGCAACTATATAAATAAAAACAAATAGGAAGGAAGTTGCCATGAAGGATCAGTAAAGCAGCTCACAGTTGCTACAGGCTGATGAAAAACAAGTAAGCCTACTCTGGATCCCTATTGACCGACTCATGACCTCTGAACAAGATCATGTAGTCACTGGGGCAGTGCTGTCTTACAGGTACTTGCCTTTAGATGGTGAATAGCCTATGGAAGCCACCCCCTACTCCTGGTGCCCGCGTACCTTGTATTCCAGAGAGAGCAATGTCTCAGTCTTGTTAGCCCAGCTCCACTTATGGACTATGTAGCCCTTCTGGTCATTTGTGATTCCACCTTCTTCATCCAAAACCAAGACATATGGACAGCTAGGAGATACAGAAGATAGAAACTACTTGTAGGCCCTGAAAGGCCTCATCACGACAGGCTACAGACAGGTAGGGCTGCGCGAGTCTGCCCCAGTCTAAAGGAATGTTTACCTGACATAAACAACCTGAGGAAGGGAAGGGAAGAGTCTGAAGACTCCTGTGAGCAGCTTCACCTTTCCACCCACTGTCATCTAAGACTCCTTACACCAACTGATGCTAGTGGGGCATCTATAGAGAAGATACGGGCTGAGGTAGATAATATAGGTTCCAGCAAAAACCCAAAGGATGAAAAACAAATTTTTTTCTGTAGTCCAGTAGCCTCACACAAAGATATCAAGCACCAAAATGTGAGCTACGACATCAAAACGACTTATGAAAAGACCAACTCTTAGCTGTCAAGAGTATGTGCTGCTCTTAAGAGACCCCCCCCAATGTGGTGATTCATCTGAACTGTCAACTTGAGTAGTTTGGATATGCCTGGATTAGTGGACCATGCCTCTGTATTTATCTGTGATTTCAGAGATGACCAGATCCTGGGTGCTCTGTCCTGATCAGTAGATTAATCCTTATGGGTTCATAATATGATGCCATTATTAGGAGGTACTGAAAGACAAGAGGAAGCCTAGGTGGAGGAAGTTAGCCACTGAGTTTTATCTGGAGGAGGGCTGTATTTTTGTTCTGGTCCCTTGCTGTAAGCTCCTTTCTTTATTTCCTAGGTCATATGATGTGAAGTACTCTAATACACTGTGTTATGACAAACTAACACCTCTGAAACTGTGAACCAAAGCAAATCTTTCTTTCAAGTTGTAAATGTCAGGTAATTTGCTGCAGTAATGGGTAACGTAATTAATACACAACCAAATTGTTTACCCGTTCCTAGTGTAAGACATTTTTTCCACTAAAGAATTGGGGCTGGAGAGATGGCTCAGAGGTTTAGAGGTCCTGAGTTCAATTCCCAGCAACCACATGGTGGCTCACAACCATCTGTAGTGAGATCTGGTGCCCTCTTCTGGCATATAGGGATACATGCAGGCAGAATGCTGTATACATAATAAATAAATCTTAAAAAAAAAAGAAAGAATTTTTCCAGGGGTGAAAAATGGGGATGCTGCTCAGTGGTAGGATACTTGCCTAACATTTATGGGGTTCTTGTCCTCAGCACTGAAAAACAATAACAACAAAAACCCTGTGTATACGCCAGTCACTGGTGGTGCACATCTTTCATCTCAGCACTTGAAGGCAGAGGCAGGAGGATCTCTGTGTGTTTGAGGCCAGCCTGGTCTACAGAGCAAGATCCAGGACAGTCAGGACACAGAGAAACCCTGACTCAAAAAACAAAAACAAACAAACAAACAAAATAAACCACCCTGTATGTCTGACCAAGAATGGAGAGCTTAGTGTTCTAGTGAACCCAGTGGGGAACTTAGACTGGGTTCCTTCTCACTGGGCCTCAACGTACCACATGTATCTACAGGCCCTGGCTCAGTGCCTCCCTAGACATCTTTAACTAGGAACTCTTAGTCACCACCTTATACACCTATACTAGGTACCTCAAAGGATACTACATGAGGCTAGACTTCCCTTGACCTACTCACCTGTTCTTCAAGTTGTAGTAAACACAGCCCTGGCCTTCAGCATTGAACAGAGCCAGGAAGGTGTTAGGCATGTCGTTAAAGAGGCAGGTGATGGGTTTCCCTCTGCAGCATGTGGGAATCTGAAGCATGGCGATGTTTCCAGAGGGATAGCTGGCAGACACAGTCAAGTCAAACTGACAGAGAACTCTCCAGGTGTTTGGCTATCAGGGTCCCCACATGAAAGGAGTCTTCTGCCATGTATGTTCTCTTCCTTCAGAGATCCTGCCTGGCTTTGCATATGTTACAATTAAATAATTATGGAACCCAGCCATTCTCTAGGTCCTTCTTGTTCACTACCTTATGAGAGGTAGTCCTTTCTCCATTTCACATATTAGAGTTTTTACAGGTCTAAATAGTACTGGGGACATAGGCTTTTAGTGCTAAAACATGAAGGTCTTGGGAAAATCAGGGTGAAGAGGTTACCCCATGTCTTGTCTCATCTTGCACCACAAGTGAGTGACAGAGTCAGAGCATGATCTCCAGAACCAGAAGTATTTCTAGCACTATCGGGATGTCTCCACTTTTGGCGAATTTAATGAAAAAAAAATATGTTCTCTCTGATCCTTCCCTAACTCAAGAGGCCCCAAGAAGCACTGGTCCTCAGAAGAGCAGTATTGGCAGGTACTTCTCTGTATAGAATTGCAGAAGCAGAACTCTGGGTAGTAGGACTATAGTGACTGCTGCTGCAATCTGTCTTCCAAAATCTTTCCTACCAGCCAAATAAAAACAGAAATATAAAGAGGCAAGCTTAGGCTTCTCACAGGCATCAGGAGCTTGATGTAGTCCTGCTGACCTGAAGTATACTGAACTTGTACCTAAATTTTGAACTCCTTCCTCAGTCTCTCCAGAGCTTGACCTGGACCAACACTTAACCCCTCAAGCATCCTCACCAGGCTTCTCTAGTTGGCCAAGAATCCCATTGAACAGTTAGCTGTTTCAAGCTCTGGAGTTCTCTGGGGCTGAGTTGGGGAGAAAGCAACACCCATCAAAAGGATATTAAACGAAAGAAGAGCCATCGTAGAAAGTGTAATGCAGCTTGATATGCTTCTTGGGCCCTTTCCACTCTTGAGAATGGCGGCCCATGTGAGCATGGTGGCTGGAAGGCTGGTGAGGAGTGGAAGCAGTAACCGGAGTCCCCACAGTGGGAGGATGGTGAGAGTCCCCCTTGGAGGTCACCATTAAATGAGAGGGCATCTTTGCCCTGTAATTGCGTAAAATCATGGGGCAGGAGGCATTCCTCCCTCTCCACGAGATCCTTTCGGCTTCTCTGTGGGAAGGAGATGAACACATCTAGGTGCTCGGTTTTCACTCTCCAGAGAGGTTCTCTACAGCCCCTTCCCAGCATTCAAGTCTCCCACCCCTTGTCCTAAAGCACATATTCTCTTCCTGTTCTTCCTCATATGCAAAGGCACTATTTTTAGGAGGAAGTAGGAAGGTAGCTGTGTCTGACCATCTGTCTGAACCTATGGAGCTATACACAGAAGGAACTCTGGAGCAGCTGGAGACAGACTATCCTCTCACCGCCCCCATCCTGAAGTTCCAGGTGGGCTCCTTCTAGAATGTCATAATACAGAGATGAACTGGGAGACTGTTGCTTACCCATGCTCTGGCCCCGTGATCCCAGGAGACACATATGACTTAGATATGAAAAGGGCTTTAATTTTTATGAGTTGGGCCCTTAGAGAAATAGTTTCTGCCAGGCTCAACAGTATCCCCAAATAATATACTATGAATCACCCATGTGGATGTAATATTTTGTTTGGGGAGATTTTTTTCTTGAACATTTGTAAAATCATGCCAAAAAATTACCACTTAGGACACAAAGTCTATGAATTGCCAGGAGCCACACAAAGGACTTCCTTGGGTGAGGTAAGGATGTTGCAGACAGAGGTAGAAAGTGTTGGGCTGACAGAGCTAGGTGAGCTCAGGAACTACTTTACTTATCTGTCAATTGGAAGGACCATGGGCTCGTGTTGTAGTGTGTGTGTGTGTGTGTGTGTGTGTGTGTGTGTGTGTGTGTGTGTGTGTGTAGAACACAGCTGGAAGTGGAGAGTGCACTTACTGCTGTGACACCCATCTCTCTTGTGTCTCATGTCCTGTAGATGCCATCCCCATATCTAGGCACTCACATGTGGCGACACATATCCTGCAGCTTTTCCCGGGCCTCAGGGCAGGGGTCCTGGAACTCAATGATGATGCTTTCAGGAGGGGTTCGGACTCGAGGGAGTGGGGACATGATATCATCAGCAGCCTTTTTGCCTGTAGTCAGAGGTGAGGTGAAATATGAAATATGGTGGGCTTTAGAGGTGAATTCTTGAGTGTCACTTCTCCTGGGGGAGAGCTGCAGAACATGTTAGGAGACTCTTTTGTGCTCTAGCAATGGAGATCCTTGTCTGCTAATTCAGTCAGTCAATAATTAAAGGTGCATCAGAGACTGAGGAACACAGGGATGAATAGCAACAATAGCAATGAAGGGGGCTTAGTGCTGATGCCTCCACAGTCCCCTATAACCAGTCCCCTTTTACCAAGGAGAGTGAAGCATGAGGAAGGCAAGTCACATGGAGCCAGGATGGGTGAAGACTTGGCTTCAAGCTTCTCAACTTCCAGCCTTACCTCCAGTGTCTGTGGGAACCAAAGGGGCAACATGAGCCAACCCTGCCTCCTCTACTACCCAGTCCTCCCCTGCCTGTCTGTCTAGTCCATGATGTCATCACTGTTGGCAGGATGGGTGGAAGGTCCTTCTCTACCACACAGTCACCTTGGAGCTTCTTTCTCTTGCTTCCTGTCTTCCCTAAAGTTCCCTTCTGATGGGGGTTGTCCTTCTGTATATATGTTTCTCTTATTGGTTGATGAATAAAACACTGTGGCCAATAGGGGCAGGGAGATAGGCAGGACTAGGAAATGAGGAGAATTCTGGGAAAGATAGGCAGGGACAGCCCACCAGAAAGAGTCAAGATGTAGCCGGCAAAGGAGTTGCAGGACTGGGCATTCTCCAGTAAGCTAAGACCACATAGAAATACTTAGGTTAATAGAAATGGGCTAATAATTAAGACAAAGCTAGCCAATAAGAAGCCCTAGTCATTGGCCAAAGTTTTATAATTAATATAGTGTCTGTGTTTATTTGGGGCTGAGAAGTGGCAATGGGACAAGAATCTCCACAGCATAGTAGCCCCTTTTAGAATACAGAACTGGAGCCTGCTAAGTTTGGGAAACAAATACTACTGTTACCCACTGATGATGTGGCTGGACAGAGCTGTCTCATTCACAGGTATGGGATCTTCATACTGACTTGGCTTGTATGGGGGTCATGTATGGGAGTGAAATGCAGAGGTGCTGCAGCTCTGGAGTGCTTGTAAGGATCTGTGTCACAGGCTGCTGAATCTCAGTGAGCTGAGCACCCTTCTATCAGTCATGAAACCTAACCATGCCACTAACTGCACAGGCTAGATGCAAATACAGCCATTCATTTCTCCTCCCACCATCACCAAGGATGGGGATGTGTGTATGAGCTCCACCCCAAAGAGAGAGGGGAGAGAGGGGGGGGAGGAGAGAGGAGAGAGAGAGAGGGAAAGAGAGAGAGAGAGGAGAGAGAAGAGAGAGAGAGAGGAGAGAGAGAGAGAGAGAGAGAGAGAGAGAGAGAGAGAGAGAGAGAGAGAGAGAGAGAGAGAGAGAGAGAGAGAGAGCGCGAGCTGTCTGGAAACATTACTCACCTTTCTTCTTGGCTTCCTTTCCTGTAGAGAGGGAAAAGCTCAGACAGGCTGTGGAAGTCTGGTAGACCAGCTGGTAAGGAGTGTTTACTCCCATGGCAGAAATGTTCATGGGAGATTCTAGTGAAGAAGAATGAATCTTCTTTACCATCTTTTAAAATGTCAGTTACTTTTTTTAAATGTAATATAATTTTCTTGTTTAAACAAAATGGTGGGCCAGATATTGCAAAGCTACCTGTAGTCATTAACCAACCAGGAAGTTTTCTGAGGAAAGACTTCTAGACATATAAGTGAGCTCAGAATAAGGAAGCAACATCTTAAGGCTCCCCTTTACAGGCCTCCCCATCCAGCCTCACAAGGGTGAAGAGCTCTCACACTTACATAATAAGTAGAAAGCAAGCACAGGGCGAACTCTTCTAAGGGCAAGTGCAAATGTCAGAGTGGCACTAGGTGTGGACAAACCTAGGCAGCAAGGAGGAAGGAATGAGAGTGGGCTCTCCTATTATCTAATGCATGGGAATCAGATGTTCTTCCAATGGCCTCTCAGTCCCACACTATCACACTGTCTTCTTGCCACCATCTGATATGTGGCTACTTAGTTCTAATGTAGCACCCTAGGTCACATTGGGAAGAGTAACAAATAAAGAGGTCCACTAAGCCCTCTCAACCCACAAGTCCATCTTCAGGTACGAACATGAGGCTTAGGTTTAAATAAAGAACAAGAATTATGTATTACTAAGCAGTCCTTCCCAAGGTGAGGCCTGACCTACACTGACAAAGCATTGCTTCTAAGCTATGTCCTCCAAGATTTCTGTGTGAAATCTCTTTCTTGGAGAGAAGTTTCCCCACTGATTGGCCCAAGGCCCAAGTCTTTTCCTTCCCAGGCATGAGACTCCTGGGGAATTCCCATTCTTTGGGGTTCATTGTGTCAGTAGTCTGACAGTCAAAGGGAAGAACACAAATAGTCTCTGTAGATTACATTCACTCCTAGTTACAATCTTAAACAAAGCCCACTACCTCTTGTTCTTTTGGGCATGAAACCAGTGTTGGAAAATGCTCAGAAATTTACTCCACATACTCAAATTCATAAAGAAAATGGTAGACTTAACCTCATTAAGTAGACAAAAATTATAAATAGGGCCCCCACCCTGGATGATCAAAACACAAGAGAAAAATCACTTTTGCTAGTGTCTCAGGTATTAAAGTTAAAACAGCTTTCAGTACCTTCTACTCTAGAAAAATTAGTAATAACTGATGCTGGTCAACTTGTCTATGTAGAGAAAAATCATGTAGAAAGTTATGCAGAGGGGGCTGGAGAGATGGCTCAGAGGTTAAGAGCACTGACCGCTCTTCCAGAGGTCCTGAGTTCAATTCCCAGCAACCACATGGTGGCTCACAACCATCTACAATTCAATCTGGTGCCCTCGTCTGGCAGAACACTGTATGTATAATAAATAATAAATAAATCTTTAAAAAAAAGTTATGCACAGATTGTGACCCTCTGCCCCAGTAATCTCTCACCTGGCAAATTAATCTTTTTTTTTAGTTAAAAATGAACTCGGTATGTTTAATAAAGCTTGGCAAATTAATCTTAACCAATGCATCAGAAGGAAAAAGTGATGAGCATACAGTTGCATATAGAAGTAGAAGCAAAAAGCATGTGAAGCTAAGATCTTGGATAAACATGGAACTTTCGTATTGGAGGGAATTTGCCCCCACTCACATGGCAAGTGTTTCAAACCATACAGCCATCCTGGCAATCATTTTCAGCTATATAACAAAAACTGAGAACAATGACAATACTATCAAAACATATATGCATGAACCAAGATAACGAGAGTATTTTTGTCTTGGGATATTTTACTCAGTAATGTCACTGTCAAATGGGAATAAAGGAGCAGCCCTGTGTTTGTCTGTGGTAAGCCAGGAGGGCAGGTGTCAGGACAGGAAGACAACCAGGAAGCAGTCTACAACCAAGGAAAGTCATCTTAGTAAAGGATATGTTCTAGCTGGATTTAAGGAGATATGCCAGGCATACTTACTAGAATGCAGCCCATAAAAACACAAATTTTTGCAATAAACTATCATACTTAGAACGTAATGCACTCGGAAATCTACCTAATTAAAATCCTGAATTAAATGAATGCTTTCCCAAAAGAAATAAATGGATCATTCCTTCTATTGTATTTGACTATTTGACCACCTACACACACACCCATCCCCCCAAAAAAACCTTAAAGCTTTTTAAAGAGAAGACTATCTCCGGTTAGGGAGATAGCTCATTAGATAAAAACACTTGGAGAGCCTGGTGAGCCAAGTTCAACCCACAGAACCTGTCTGATGATGCTAGAACAGCCTCCATAGAGTTGTCTTCTGACATCCACATGAACACATCTTACACACATACAATAGCAATAAATACAGATTTAATGTGAGAGAGATGAACACCTGCACCAAGAGTCAACCAGTGAGATTTCTGAGTGAGCTCCATGATGAGAGGGGCTTCCTTATCCCCCCTCATGATGCTCCAGGCCACAATCCAACTGAATTCTCTTCTCACTATCACCCCATAAATCTAAGCTCTGAGGGATTCAGAATGTCTGTGCCTTGAAGACCAAAGCCTGTGACCCTGAAAATATGTTTTACTAGTAGCTAGGCAGGAAGGATAGGCAGGGCTACCAGAGGAGGAGAATTCTGGGAAGGGTAGGCAGACAACAGTCGCCAAAGGAGTTAGAGGTCCAGACCCTTCTCTGGTAAGCCAAGACCTCGTGGAAATATACAGATTAATAGAAATGGGTTAATAATTAAGACAGAGGTAGCCAATAAGAAGCCCAAGTCACTAGCCAACAAACAGTTTTACAATTAATATATGTCTTTGTGTGTTTATTTGAGACCCAAGGGCAGTGGGACCAGCTAGGACAAAGAACCACTCATAACCTCTGTGTGTGTGTGTGTGTGTGTGTGTGTGTGTGTGTGTGTGTGTGTGTGTGTATCAGTGCCTGCAGAGGCCACAGGCATCAGATCCTCTAGAACTGGAGCTAAGGGAATTTGGCATGGGTGCTGGCAGATGGAACTCAGGTCCTCTGCAAGAGTAATACATAACTCTCTCTGCCGGCTTCATCTTATTTCTGAGACAAGGATCACTAAATTGGCTAGACTGGCTAGCCAGTAAGTCCCAGGCATCCTCCTCTATATCTCCATGAGCACTGGTATTACTGGTGATCTGAACTTAGGTCCCAATGTTTTGTGTGGCAAATACTTTACTGAGCTATCTTTCCACAACACTTAATATGAATGTTATGCCAGTGTTTGCCATGTACTATTTAGGAAATAGCAATGAGGGAAAATGTATGCACTCAAAGGCAGTATTTTTTTGACACAGGGCTTCTCTGTGCAGCTGTGGCTGTCCTGGAACTTACTCTGTAGAACAGGTTGGCCTCTTACTCAGAAATCTGCTTGGCTCTGCTTCTGGAATGCTGGAATTGAAGGTGTATGTACCACTACCACCCAGACAGAGGCAATCTCTTAAAAGCATTTTTAAAGCATTTGTTATTATTTTATGTATGTGTATTTTGCCTGCATGTATATCTGGGTACAACATACACACCTGATGCCCATGGAGACAAGCACACATCACATCCTTTGGAACTGGAGTTACCGAGGTTGTGAGCTGTCGTGTGGGTGCTGGAAACTGAGTCTGGGTTATTATGAGAAAGCAGTCAGTGCTCTTAACTGCCAAGCCATCTCCAGCCCCTTAAAATATTTTTAATCTGTGGTTGGTTTGAGGTAGGGAAAATTTTAGGGACATGAGAAGAGGACCCTTTCACCTTGGAATACTGTTGAAACTTCTCACCAGCAAAGCAAAAATTCGAGGACAGATGACTGTGCCACTCAAGGCCTTTCTCTTTCCCAGATTTAAAGTGGAAACTTTCTAGGAACCTCACCAGAAACCCCATTTATGGAAAGGACATGTAACAAACCCCTTGTGCAGCCACAGTGGCTTCTGGTTTTACCTCTTCAGATAATAATGTTATCCAAGGCATGGCTGGAGTCATCCCACTATCTCTTATCAAAAGAAAGAGAAAAGGGGAGGAAAACTGTAGTTAACCTTTGAGGTGTAACTTGAGAGCCATCAAATGGTATATATGGTTAGTACTAAGACAATGAATTGTGTCTCTCCCTTGGGGAAATCCTATCCACAACTTGCATATATCTTATTTTATCCTACTGTTCCTTGGAGAGCACATACCCCCAATACAAACATACCTGAGTGTGTTTTTCTTTCTTCTTAGTGGCTGTCTTCTTCTAAACCCTCATTAAGACTGTGTTCAAATATCTTCAATAAAATTGCCAATTCTGCTGGTCCTACAATTCTTTTGAGCAACCATGATTCCCAGTTCTGCCTGAGCTGAGGTCCCTAAAAGTATAAGTATTTCCTGCCTCAGGTTGCTGAGGGTGACAACTGAAGCTGTGTCTCTGCACCCTCATTGCTGATTGGATGAACCTACACATGTACATCTGTGGATATAGGACTGCCCTTACTCAGGTAGGAAAATTTCAAGGATTTGGCTGGCTCCTATGAGATTTTGTGACATACTTTCACATTCATGTAAAAGACCTGGATCCCACAGAAGTGTGTAATCCCTGAAACAGAGCACCGAGTATAGAACTCTCTGTGTGTCAATCACTCCCCACCTAGTGTTTCCAGCAATGCTAGAGGACTTAAGGCACCAGAGCCTAGCTGGCTCAATCACACTAGGCACAAAGTAACTCCCTTAAAATGGATACCTCTATTTCTTCTTCCTCTGAAAGGGAGAAATGTCTGACTGGAAGTTTATTTTAGGAAAGGAAACTTGAAACTTATCAAAAAAGCCTTATTTTATCTTTTTTTAACAAATTCTATGCCACATTGTACTAATCTTACAAAATTTAAAATGGAATGCTGAGTGCTGAGTTTTTTTATTTTCTTTTCCCTGAATACTTGTTTCAAACAAGAAAACATGGGTCCCTTTGTGTCTAACTTTGGCAGAAATATTCAAGGGCTTTCTTGTTTACTCCTAACTTTTCAGTTGCTCTGGCATCCTTCCCCATTGTGGGATCTCTGTGTAGCCCTGGCTGTCCTGGAATTTCTTCATTCCCTCTTCATCCCACCACAGCATGTTTCATGGGATCCCCACACCACTTTCATGAACTTCCATGAAATCTCATGGGTTTTTTTGTTTTTTGTTTTTTTCCTGATCTGGAATTTTACTATTTAACTGATTTGCTCTGGATGTGGCTATCATTACCAGGTATTTAACTCCAATCATCAGGGGAGCCTGACAAAGTCACTGCCTTAACGGCAGGGAATAGCACTAATGGGTGACTGACTGCACAGGTGACAGAGCAAGGGTGTAAGATTTGTTCTGAGGTCTAATGACAGGACTAATAAGCATTCAAATGAACACTAGTGTACCAAACCAAGCTGAAGATATAAAACATCACAGGAGAAAACTAATTGAAAAAAAATGGACCAAGAATCAGAATGAATATTTGCCGAAGACATATAAATGACCAACAATATATGAAAAAAAGGTTTAAAGCTATTAATTATCAGAACATAAATCAAACCCACAATGAAATATCATTTTGTGACTTTTATCAAAAATAAAAAACAATAGCAGGATGGTAGTGACACATGCCTTTAATCTCAGCAGTTGGGAGGCAGAAGCAGGAGGATCTCTGTGAGTTTGAGGCCAGTCTGGTGTACAGAATGAATTCCAGGATAAGCCAAGGCTACACAGTGAAACTCAGTCTTGAAAACAAACAACAAAATAATACGTAAAAATAAAACAATAACAATAACAATGCTAATGAGGGCATGGAAGAAAGTTGTGTATTTGTGGTAGCATTGTAACTGAATATAGCCATAATAAAGATTTCCTCAACAACTAAACTGCTGTGCAGAGTGGCATACACTTGTAAACAGTCACAGCACTTGGAAATCCAGACAGGAAAATTACAAGGTAATGGCTACATAGCAAGACCCTGTATCAAACAAAACAAAAAAGAACAAAAATTAAAATAAGAACTACTGTATGGCAACCCCACTTGTAGGTATATATCCAAAGGAAATGAAGTCAGTGTCATAAAGAGATGTCTGTATACCCATGTGCACTGCAGCATAATTCCCAAAAGCCAAATGGGATCAGCCTGAGTATCCATCAGTGAACGAACAGATAAGGAAATTTGATACATACACAGAGTGGGATAGTATTTGGTCTTAAAAAGTAATGAAATTCCACCATTTATACCAAGATACAGGAGTTTAGAGGTCATTATGCTAAGTAAAATAAGCCAGGCACCAAAGATAAATCCTGCAAGAGCTCCCTCATGTGTGAAGTCTAAAACATTCGAACTCACAGAAACAGAAAGAATAATGGTGGTTGCTGTTGGTGATGTTGGTATTGGTACACACTTTCCTAAGTCCTAGGATCAAATGAGCAGCATGGTGGCATTGTCACTTTTAGTATATAGTGTTCTTGATATTTGCTAAGAAGGCAGGTAGAGCTTAGCTGTTCTTTTTACACACACAGGTAAGTAGGTGAAATGAAGACATAGAACAAACACTGAACTTCTGACCTGAGTGAATTGTGGTATTGCAGATCTTGCTCCCCTACCTCCACATCTCCAAGGATCACCTCCTCTAATGTTTCTCCTCCTGTTCTGTACACCCGTATTTTATGATATGTTCATAAACAACATCTTTGCTAATATTAAACCATTAAATAGATAACCACAAACATATCCTTTCACACATTTTTTTCTTTTGCCAGATGCTATTTTTTGAGAATTACCTACACTGCTGAGTTGCTTAATGCTTTAGGGTGGGGGTACGGGTCTCATGTAGCCCAGACTGGCCTAGAATCCTTGTGTAGCTGGAAAGCATCTTGAACTCCTAATCCTCCTGCCTCTACCTGAGTAACAGGATGACAGGTGTGTGTGTGCCCAGTTTGATTTACTCATTTTTATTGCTCACTATGAAGCAGTATCAGCATGGGCCATAATTTATTCATCTCTATTGATGGACACCTCTTTCTAATCTTTCTGTCTTTCCAAATGATTCTGTAATAAGTATTCCTGTAGGACTGCTTATATGCATGGGGCTGAGTTGTGGTCAGCAGATGGGAGCTGATTCCCATATGCCATGAAGAGGTGAGCTCAGACAGAGCAACAGGACTGACATCGATCTGAGTAGTGACTTCATTGCAGTGACATTTTTATCATGTGTACTAAACGGCTGATGTGTAACAGATTGGAAACTTCAGAACTTTGGCCATAGTCTGTTGAGAAACATACTCTAGAAGGTCCTGAAACAGAGGCCAGGCTGTGAGTATATGAGCTGAAGACATTTCCACCAACAAAAAAGTAGGCTGCTCTCCACCAGAGGTGCATGAGCCTTCCTTGCCAGCAACATGGTGTCAATGACTCCTGCTGTTCCACAGCCATCTCAGCCCATGGGAGCTTTGGCCTTTCAACTGTAGCTTTTGACTGCCTAGCACCTTCTTGTTGGCTCTGTTTGCACTTTTTCCATACAGGAGGGCACCCACCTTTCCCCAGCTGGGCTGCACTAAAGCAGCTTTTTCCAACAGTGCCTATCAGGCAGTCAAAGGCCATCTCCTTGGCATTGAGATGGAGGAGCTGGCTGGCCTCCACAAAGCGCCTGGTGATGTCCAGAGGATTGGCACCTGCTGAGGGAATGAGCAAAGACAAAGTGTTTTCCTCTTGGCATGGATGACTCTTCCAGAAAAAAAGACTTTTGCAAATGGCCCAGGAAATAAAGGTGAAGATTCACTTCTGATGTAAGGGGAGGAGATCCTGACATGCACACTCGATTGAGCAGAGAGCTCAAGATCCAGCAGGCAGCACTTTGCTCCCCATCCACCTGCTTGCCCGCCCACCTGCCTGTCTCACTGCCCACAGCTGAGCACTGAGGCCTCCAGGAGGCTGCTGCTGACAACGCTTTAGGGTCTTCTCCAGCCTTGGAATGATGCTCTAAGCTTGGAGGCCCTCCCTGGGTTCAGAATTTCCTTGGCATTGGCTGGACTAGGCTCTTGATTCACAGATTCTACATCTCTACTCTTCAATACAGCTCTGTCCACCCCTGCACAATCACCGTAAACTCTCCCTTTAGTGTTTCTAATATCTCACTGCCACCACTGCTAACTTTTGAATGGGCACTCCAGAGATGGGTGACTGGAAGGGACATGGGAGGGCAGAGGGGGAAAAGGAGGCTTCTGCTCAGGGAATCACAGTTTTTGCAGCAGGCACATGCCACCATCCCAGTGCATACTTACACAGGCTAAGTATGCCTTATCCCAGGACTTGGAGCTAAAAGTGTGGGAGGCTTTGGGAAGGCTGGGGTTTCTAAATGTTTTCCTGTATGTATCTGTGGATAGGACACAAAGATATGGAGTTCTCTGGTGTTTCATGTGCACCCTGACTGCAGACATGCCTATCATCATGCACCGTCAGCTATGGAATATTCTGTGGCATTATGTGAGCACTCAACATCCTCAGACTGCACAGCATTTTAGATTATAGATTGTGGATACTCAATTCATACCTGTTGGGATGCATGTAGTGCAGGCGGGCACACATCCACCCCACCCCCACACACACACACCACCTACCTGTGCAGAAATGGAAGGGATCAGTGAGCAGCCTTACCAGAGGCAGACTCCACCATGGCCTTCATCTTCAGGGAAAGCAGCTCTGTCAACAGGTGGATGGATTGTCGCTGGAACTTGTGCAGGGTATCTTGGCCAGTGGACACCACTCGAGTAGAGGCAGGGGTGGGGGCTGAGTACCTGCTCCCGCTTGTGGCTGTGAGCAGCACTGGGGGTGGTGGGGGTTGTGGGGGTGGCTTCTTCTGTATGGGGACTTGCACTGGGATCATCTCTGCAAGTACCACTGTAGGAGTTCCAAAGGTAATCACTAGATCCTGGATGTCAGATGGAGTAGGTACTGCAGGATCGCTGATGAGCTCCTCCCAGGTGAACTCAAAGATATTCCTGATGCCTTTGGGGATGGAAATGCCTGCGTTTCGGCAGACAATGAGGAGTTTGGAGACGCGTGCCAGCAGTTTGGGGGCTGTGGCTGAGTATTGCAGGAACAGTTCTCGGTTACTTTTGACCTGGTTCATGTCGTCTGGGCAAGCATACTGCTGACACTGTCCATCTCAGAGGAGAGGGACCTTCAGCTGTAAAGACTCAGCAGTCTGAGAAGTGATGTGACTAGGGTCAGAAGCTCTTACCTACAGAGAAGCCTTGGAAAAAGATGGAGTGTGCATGCAGAAATAGCCCTCACAGGTCATTGAGCCAGGAGTTTGTCTCAGAAGGATAAGAAGGTTGCTGGTCATTCTTCCATGCTAGAACAAAGCATTGTTCCTTTCCCTCTTCTTCCCAGCAAATAGCAATGTGAGTGAGCTACACTGGGACAGGCCTGCTGCTGAGGATGGGCCCAGAGAAGTTCCAGAGAAGGCCACAGAAATTGAGTACCTAGAAGAACAAAAGGGCCAGGGCAAGGAGAAAGTCTCACCACACTTTTGTAGTTAGCACCCTGAGGGTAGAAGATCTGCCAGAGGTCTACTGATAAAAGCCTGCAAAAACAAAAGGATGCCATTGGCTCTCTCGGGAGACAAGGGACATGGGAGCTTCTGGTCATAAACCTGGGAAGGGCATTGAATTACTCAACATGTATAGCCTAGGCCAGACTGTAAAGCATGAAGGACAAATTGAACCCCACAGTTCAATATCTGATTCCACAGGTCACGTCCCACAAAGCCTAAGGAAAGCAACAATTAGAAAATGCAGTGTTAGAAAAATGCCATTGGCTGAAAGATGTAACACAACTACAGAGATGTAACAGTGTGAAAAATGAATACCCTAACATTAGTGGATTGTGGCAAGCATTTTTCCTCTTTAACAGAGCTGCTCAGGGACTCTAAGTGTCCAGGTAAGCATTGGGGGCTCGGGTTTAGCCAATAATGCATTTATGAAAACATAAATCCTCCTTTGGATCTTATGCTGAACAGGAACAATGCCCAACAATGCCTGCCTATTTCTGAGGGCCTTTTTGAGGATTTGAACCTCTGCAGGAGGGCAACATGCGGGACTGCCCATTTGAGGAAAGCTCAAGGACTTTTTTCCTCTCCTGACCTTTCCAGCATCTCCCTGCAGTGCTGGCTCATCTCTGCCATCTATCTAGAAGCCAATTCAGCATGTTTGCCATGATGTCAGCCACAAGAGCAGAAGGCAGGTTGCTGTGTCCATCAGTGAATGCAGCTGTCCAGCCATTTCTTTCCCCACTTTCCATTCTGACCACCACTTTTTCACAAAAGAAATCCTCTTCCCCCTTTCAATCTCTGATCCCAAGTTCCAGGACCATTCCAGGACAGCTCCTCAGGCACATACCTGCAGTGCTTGCAGAGAAGGTCCATGCCTACTTGCTGTGTATAACCTGTGGTGAGAAACTATTCTCTCCTAACTTACTGATGAGGAGCCAGAGCTCTGGACCCAGAAATGTCTGCCCTGGAGTTAAAGCATAGAGGCTTTGCATACACTACATCACTTCTCCCTGGCCTATGAGCTATCTTTGTCCATCTATCAGGAACAAAGTTCCCAAACAGCAAGAGTCCCATAGGACAAAGCTCCTAACATTCTACAGGCTTGAAGACAAAGTGGCTTCCTGTGTCTATCTGCTGACCTCTGGCATTGCCATTTCTCAGCTTTGCAGACTCAGAAAAATAGATTTGTTCTGGAATGGTCAGTCCACAGAACAAAGACACCACTCAGAATCTCAGGGATTAGGGCAGCAAGTCAGAGAGGTCTGACCCTAACTGTATAGGGCAGATAATGATGACATTTCTTCTCCCATAACCCCTACCATCCCACCATCCTCTTTCTCCTCCTCATTTTCCTGTTCCTTCACTTAGGACTCAAATGAAGGAAAGAAAATGACTAAGTAATTCCTGAAATCCTTGCCATGGTAACTGTTTGGGAAACTTCTCCCCCATCTTCCTAACTAGTTCCTATCATTTGAGGTTAATTACAAAGACATGTCATACAAATAGATAAAAGATGATTCTTCAAACAGGCTTACTAAGCTATAATCCCTCACAACATATACTTCAGTTTTGGTAACATGAACAATTATGTGTTGTATATTCAGAAATGCAGCCAATGTTACTATTGAATTTTAGAGTAGTCATCACCTCATAAAGAAGTAGATTTGTGATCACTCCCATTTTGTCCATCTCAAACAACTTTATCTAGCCTATATAGACTCACCTGTCTTTAAATTTTTAGTTAATTGGGTGTAGGTGTAGGTGTGGGTATGTACACATTAGTGCAGGTGCCTGCAGAGGTCAGAGGCTGGGATATCCTTGGAACTGAAGTTATAGACAGTTGTAAGCTGCTTTTCATGGGTACTGTAAATTGATCTTGGGTGCACTGGAAGAGCAGCAAATGTTGTTAGATAATGAGACATCTCTCCAGCCCCAGATTTGCCTTTTAATGTATGTGAATGTACATGCTTATGCGTAGATGTATGTGCATGTTCATGAAAGCATATGGGGACTAGAGGTCAATCTTGGTATTGTTTTTCAAGAGTCACACACCTTTGTTTGTTTTTCCAGGCAGGGTCTTACTGGAATCTGGGAGTCACTGATAGGTTAGACCAGATGATCAGTGAGCCCCAGCAATCTGTCTCTCTCTCCAGTACTAGAACTACAACACACTGCTACACATGGCAAATATGGTACTGAGGGTCAAATTCAGGCCATCATGCTTGCACAGCTAGCAAGACATCAACTGAACTATCTCCCAATACCCCATATTTTCCTGTTCTGGATATTTAATATAAATGGAATCCTGAATGTATGTGGTCTTTCCTACCCCTTTAGGAGCTATTGGCACTTGATGGTTCCTGGAGGAAGAAGTCATGTTTGTTTGAGAATATGACCACTGGTAAGATGTCCACGTACCAGCTGATGGACCCACAACCATGCACATACCAGCAACACTAATTGGACTTGATAGGCATAGTGATTTAAACGAGAAATGTCCCAGGCTCATGTATTTGAACACTTGGTCCTGGGTTGGTGCTTACCAAGTATTTTATATACATGGAAAAATATCTACTCAGACTTTTAAAAGAAATGTTATTTTAATTAAATGCACTGATAACATTACTACATTTCTTCAAATTTTGCCTTAAAAAGTACCTTATTACACTCTACCTATAAGATGAAAGTGAAGCTGTTAGGTAGAGGACCTTGAAACTTACCTTTAAAGGAGGCTGCCTTTATTGAATAAACACCTTTTAGTCACTCACTGTCTTGCCTGGAAGGGATGCGATGGGTATATCCCAGCAGTCATTTTGAACCATGAGGTTACCTTGAAGAGGGAAGTCGTGAGCTAGGGGTAGCCATGCAGAAAAATAGAACCTAGACTCCTGATAATAATATGGAACCCCCACACTACCCTTTTGCCTGTCTCCAAGCTTCTCTGACATGGGAAGACGGGCCTTTTGTGTTTGTTCCTAATGTCTACAGCCAGTTCTTCACTCACACTGCTATTCTTGCCATCAAATGTGATTTCTAAGAAGCAGTCATTTTAGGTCACCCCCATTCTCTTCCTTTTCTATTTAATCTTATTCACTTTTAAAGGATTGAGGCATGAGTCTTGCTCTTGAGAAATTCAATGTCAAAAGGAAGAATGGAATGGAACTGCTTACAATAGGAATCACACTTCAGAAAAATGTGCAAAGGCCGTGGACATGTGCATTAGTTATGTTTCTTTTGAGGTGACAAAATATCATGACCAAGACAAATCATGGAAGAGTTTATGGTTCCAGAGGGATAAGTATCACCATCACCATGGGAAAGCAAAGCAGCTGGCAGGCATGACAGCAAGAACAACTTAGAGCTTGAATTTCAAGCCTCAAGCCACAAACAGAGAACAAACTCAAAATGGTGCAAGTCTTTAAGTTCTCAAAACCTACTTCAGTGACATACTTCCTCCAGTGAGGGAATATCTCTTGAGCACCCCCCCCACTTACACACAAACAGTGCCACAAAATGAGGGCCAAATATTCAATGGGGGCCTGATAATATAGAGACACCAATCATTCAAGGGCACGTGATGACAGAATGCATGCTCAGCACTTCAGGTCATAATGGAGTTGAAATGCCCCCTCATTTAGTGACATCACAGTTGTCACAGCTGTGACGGTATAGTGCAGCATATTACTCTTGTTTTTTTGTGATACCGGTATGAGCACCCATACCACAAAACAGCGAGGCACAAGTGATAGGTGCAAATTTGGGTTGAGATTTAAGAGGATACATATTCTCCCGTCATGGCACTGAACCAAGAACACATTTGAGTAAAAGTGCACATAGCTGAATATTCCAAAGGAAAAAAGGCTTTCTCGGGTCATCTGGTCCTGCCTCTCTAGTTTCTGGTTCCCTCTGGTTTTAGAGATGTCCCTAAACAGGCTTGGTTGTAGATGGTTTGTGTGACTATCCTATGTACAAGCATGGCTTCTGGCGATAGAAATGCTCATTCCTGCTGTCCTATGCCTGGTACATAAGGTGGTATCTGGAGAGATGCTAAAGAACTCTCTAGCAGGAAGAAAATAGGTCACACAGCAAAGTGCATAGTATAGATGGTGAGTTAGTATGCAGTCTGCTTCACCTCATGTTATGCCAAGGCTCAACATGAAACCCTGGTGATGCAGTCCTGGGGTGCCTCTGCAGGGACATCCACTGCAGTGTCAAGCCCCCACTGAGATAAATTTCCTGAAAAGAGCAATCAAGAATGTCTGTCTATATGACCTAATGATGTCACTTCTCAAAATGATGCTCAGGGGGACATTTCAAAGGAGAAGGAAGGCAGCAGTATAAGACAGCAATTGTTAAATCAATCTGAAAGATGCTCTGGCTGGTGGTTTCTTCCTACCAAGGAATGCTGACCTGTGTTTGTGTTTTTGTTACTTTGATGAACTACGAAGCAGCAACAAAAATAACTGAATAGTTCAGTTTTTGAAAGCAAACCAGCACCATGTTGCTTACATTATACACTTAACTGACCATTTTCTGAAAATTCAAAATAGCATCTATAGAGCTAGAAAAAGACTTAACAGTACAGATTATCTGTGGCTAGAAACCAGGAAACCACATGTCCTGCACAGTTCTCAGAGCACTTGTAATCTGGGGACCATGTAGGGAGCAGAGAGCCAGGTAAAGACTGTGGAAGGGTGGAGAGGGTGAAGCAGGTGAGGATGGGAAAGGTGGACACCATGTTCCGCTCGGGGAAGCTTAATGCTGACGGCGAACAAGACACAGAAGAGGACAAAGCATAGCCTGGAGAAAATGCTTGAAGGTTTTTGGAGCCAGGGAAAACACAGTAGTTAGAAATGGATTTAAATGAAAAAGGAAGGAAGGGAGGGATTTAAACTAAGAGTGAAAAGGAAATAAGATTCTGACTGCTCCTATTGGTGGACACTCATTTTCTGTACACATGTCTGTGCAGCCTAGATATAAAAAACAAAAACAAAAAACGCTGCAGAGCACCAATGCTCTGCCAGAGGTTAGGGTTTGCTTTGTTTTTTAGACCATATCACTGTATAGTCATGTTGACCTGGAACTATGTAGACTAGGGTAGCCTCAGAGGTCTGCCTGCCTGAGTGCTGGGATTAAAGGCATGCTCCACCAACCCCAGCATGGGGTACAGGCTCTTATGAAAACATAGTTTCATGTGAGCATATTGACTTTCCAGTTCCCCAGACATTGACACCATCAACTCCACCACACTGAAGCCCTCATGTTTCACACTTGCCTACTCTTCAAACATGGAGGTAGATGTCCATAGCCTCCACCAGTCACACGAGTCCTCACAGCCAGCCAGCACGAGTCTGCTCTCATTATTTCCAAGTCAACAAATCATTTTCAATATCATCACTCACCTTGGATATGTAGCATTTTATGTGATCAGTTTGACATATAACGGACTTAGCTTGCCTCACTGGCTCAAAAGGAAATGAGCCAAATATGCTGTGGCTATCCTGTTGTGTTAACTGTAAAGACCAGTACCCACCCCTGGTTCAGATTCTAAATTCCATTGCCTCATCTGTATGTCACAACCAGGCCAGCTGAACAGCAACCCAGGGGAATGACCCAAGTCTCTGGCAAATGTACAGCTAGGTGCAGCAGGCATCTCATGTATATGGATTTGAATATTCTCCTTGGGAATTCTGCAGGTCAGCAGAATGATTCACTACATCAATTCAAATGAACTATACCAATACACACAAGGCCCAGAAAAGAGGTTACAATGAAAACAAGGAACTCAAAAGCAGTCTCTTTCCAAATGGTCTGCTTTGCTCCTCAGAAGCACACACAAGACACAGAGATGTTCTCCTGAAGGTTTTACCACTTCCTGCTCCCAAGTTAGACAAGGTCACGGAATGTTAGATGTGCACCTAGAAGAAACTGACTTGCCAATCCTTTGATCACTAATGGGAAGACTGTATAGGGACCACAAAACCAGAAAATGATCTTTGGAGCTGTCCTACTCAGAAGCTGTTAGCATAGCAAAATAATTAAATTTCAATTTCACTAATTTAAATCTAAAACTAGGTGGGGAAGGAGGGCCAGACAACTGAGTAAAGGTGCTTGCCTAGCAAGCCTGGTATCCAACGTTTGAACTTGGAGCTAACTCATGTAAAGGTGGAACAGGGGAAACACTCTACAAAGATGTCTGATCTCCTTATGTGTGCTGTGACATGTACATGCCACACACAAATATACACACAAAAATAACATGATATTTGAACTTAAAAGTTAAAGCTGGGGCTGTAGCTCAACATCTCAATAAGCATACCAACAAAAGTTATTAAATTTAAAATTTCACTCAACTCAATTATCAGAAAAGTTAAATGTTTGGGACAACTTTAGGTTTTTCTTTTTTTTTCCAACTGCTTTAAGACATCTAAATATGGATGAAGTGTTTCTGGTAAAAACTGAGTATGCAAGGTCAGCTATATTGTGAACTTCAGTGCACTCTGAGGACTAAATATGAAAAAGAACAAAGAGGACTTAGCGGTTACAAGTGCTTGGTATTCTTGCAGAACTGTTCCCAACACCCATATAGCAGCCCTACCTGTAATTCCAGTTCCAGAACATACACCCTCTTCTGACCTAAGGGCACCAGGTATACATGATACACACATATACACACAGCACTCACACATATACATACAAACAAAAGTGGGTGTGGTGACATACATCCTTATTCCCGGGACTCAGAAGGCAGAAGCAGACTTATCTCTGAACTTGTGGCCAGCCTAGTCTACATAGCAAGTTTTAGGACAGCCAGGGTTACTGAGACCCTGCCCACCCACCTGCAAAAAAATAATAATAATAAAAAAGAAACAAATATCTTTTGATAGTCCCTGTATCCAGACTATATACTGAGACATCCCGGGTATAATAGAAAAAAATAATTTTGCTTTTTAAATATGGATCTAACAAAGCTAAAATGGCCCAGGAATGTAGTTCAGTTGGTAGAATGCTTACCCAACATGCAAAGCCCTGGGTTGAATCCCCAGCAAGGCGTAAACCAGATGTGGTGGTGTACACCTGTAATACTAACACTCTGAACATGCAGTACAAATGGATCAGAAATGTACTACTGACACTTCAGCCTCTCTGTGAATATGCATCCACATGGTACTCAATGTTCTGAGAACAAGTGATAGCTAAGTGCCTATCTCTCTAGGCTCAGGAACATCAGGAAAGGGAACAGAGAATGTAAATCTGGAAGACTGACAGGACTGTGAAATGCCATCTTCAGGGCACAACATAGGCACATATAATCTCACAGCAGTTTCAAAAGGACCTGCAAAAGACTGAAACTGTCAAGAAACAATCATTGACTGGGAAGGGGTTCATTGGGCCCGACCCCTCCTTGTTGAACACCTGGCTACAAGAGATTCTGAGGAAAAGTCATTGTCATTGTCCAGGTTCCAACAGACATCACTAAATCTGAGACTGATACAGTCTCAGATTATAAGACAACAAAATGAAAAGAATGTGAAAAAAGGGCTTGTAAGAAAAAGGGGGAGTTGACAGGGGTGGAAGGAATAAGGGAGGCTAGAGGATGAAGGAAAATTGTACAAATTACAAAACATCCAAGATCATCTCTGCTACATATCAAGTTTGAGCTGCATAAAACCGCCTCCCAAAAAGGAAATAAACAAAACTGAAAGTGACACTTTCATTGCATTCCTATGAAGTCAATACTATCTTAGAGCAAGGATCTGAACTCTGAGGAGTCTGCTGCCATCTGCTGGACACCCTCACACAAAACTGGTCCATGAGAAACAACTTTCTGAAGTGGATTTCACATCATGCTTCATCTGAGGGACTAAAACTCGAAGATATAAGACTTGCCAAAAAGCCTTACAACTGATGAGGTAAAGAGGGGATTAGAAAGAGACTCACAAAGAGTCTTCAAGATCCCAGAGAAAATATTACCTACAGTTACCAGTTGACAGTCACTGAGTGGCTGTGCTTACTGCTTCTACCCATCTAAGGGCTTGTGGTCGCTGGGTCCTCCCATTCCCCCTGGCTCCACCTAAGGCTTACTGCTGCCTGGCTGTCCCTCCACATTCTCTTCTTGGTGCTCTACCTTATAAATTCACTTTCTTTTTGGAATTCACAACACTTGTTTGCCTTTTATTCTGCTTAGAGCTTGCTATGTAGTCCAGGCTAGGCTTGAACTCACTGAGATCCACTTACCTCTGCTCCCCAAGTACTGGAATTAAGAGAATATACTACCATACCTGGTTCTTTTCTGCTTTTGCTTATGATTGTGGCATGTCTAATAGTTCTATTTCTTTCTTTCACCTCTAAGCTATTTCACTCTGTTAGCTGTTGTCAGCCCTTACTTTTGAGTTGACTTTTAGATATGGTTTCAGGTCAAAGTCTAAACTCATTGCTTTGCCCTAGACAGTAAGTTCTGGAATGTACACTCCTTCCCATTGGATGGTTCTGGCACACCCATTAGGAGTCAACTTCCCACAAACACCTGGCTCTATTCTACCCTACTGACCTATGTGCCCGTGTTCATGTGCCAGTACCACACCCTCTGCACTGTGGTAGCTTTGCAGTAAGTCTTGAATCAACAAGTTGGTCCTCCAACTTTTTTCTGGCTATTCTGAGACCCTGGCATTTCCATATGAATTTTAGGATGCATGTGCCATTTCTGAAAAAAAAAAAAAAAGGCTAGGTTAGAGTTCTGATGCCCAATGAGACTGACAGGATGACATTGTGTCCAGCTTTCCCTTTGCTGTGGAACTCAGAGGTAACTTTCAAAAAATGGAATTTCCTTTTTTTTTTTTCTTCAAGACAGGGTTTCTCGGTGGCTCTGGAACTTGTCCTGGAACTAGCTCTTGTAGACCAGGCTGACCTCGAACTCACAGAGATCCGCCTGCCTCTGTCTCCCGAGTGCTGGGACTAAAGGTATGTGCCACCAACACCCAGCTGAAGAATGGAATTTCTTTCTTTTCTTTTTTTTTTTTTTTTTTTGGTTTTTCGAGACAGGGTTTCTCTGTATTGTTTTGGAGGCTGTCCTGGAACTCGCTTTGTAGACCAGGCTGGCCTCGATACACCTGCCTCTGCCTCCCGAGTGCTGGGATTAAAGGCATGCACCACCAAAGCCCGGCAAGAATGAAATTTCTTACCTAAACTGGGAGCAGAATGCACTGGAAAAAGCATGAGTCTAGAGGGTAGATGTAAGTTGTTGACACCCTGGACCTGACACTTAGATGCCACATGACCTTGAGCCAGGTTTTGACCCACTCCACATTCTAGTAGTCATCACAGGAAGACCCAGGCACTTCCCCTCACAATGCAGTGCTTTGTGAGGGCACTGCAGAGACTTTCCTTGAATTGGGAAGGACCCACAAATTTCAAAGGCTTGATGGCTAACTCCTGACTGCCTGACTGCAGTTGCATGGGCAAATCCTCTGAATACCCCTACATAGTGATGCCCTTTGGATTCCTGTGCACCAAACATCCCTGTTCAATAAGGACAAAGGCAGGGACCTACCTGCTCTACACAATGGGGTCCCAAGACTGACCCACTCAGGGTACAGGGAGTCAAGAAGCCTTAAGCAATGGAAGCACCAGGAGATACTAATGCACCAATTGGTAAAACTAAGGACCAATGATTTCTAACCAGGCTCAGCAGCCTTCAAGAATGCCTAAGTAATTCAGCACAACTCCGCAGAGACAGGGCTACAGGTAACTGGATAACATGTTGACATAGATCAACAATCAGCTTCTAACTCTCTGTTAGAACCGTAGATGTTCTTTCTGACCACATGGCTTCAGATGTGACATTAGTTAGTATTTCGCCAGCTTCCTTTTTTGATTTTGCCTCCTATAATAGGCCTTTATTTGCCTGTTGGACATGTAAGAACTCCCAATATTGCTCCATCACCTGTCTGGGAAGTTTAATATGTGGAGTAGACACCTGCATGCTAGCATTTCTGAAAACAGAGTCATGGGTGTGTATATTTGTGAAGCAGGGCTTTAAGCTCCTCAGCAGGATATGGAAAGACAAATCAGTCGTTAAGAGCACTGGCTGCTCTTGTAGAGGACCATGGTTCAGTTCCCAGCTCTCACATAGTGGCTCACAATTATCCATAACTAGTTCCAGGGTATCCAATGCCCTCTTCTGACCTCCTTGGGCACCAGGCACATATGTGGCATACATAAATACATGAAGGCAAAACATTCATACACATAAAATAATCTAAAAAAGAAACAAGTTCCTCAGAACCAAATTTCAGATTGGTATTTACAGTTCACACACCTGGAAATCCAAATGAGTTACAACTGAGTCAGCATGGAGGGGAGGAGATAAATTCCCTCTACACAAAGGGATAAAAATGAACAGTCAAGTAGTCAATAAGCTCCCATGGGTACACTTACTCCTCCCTGCCAATTAATCTGGCCTCAAGCCTATGCATCCTAGGGAAAGGACAAGAAGAGACATTAAACTCAGATCTGTCAACTTTTGATGACACAAATGCAACCAGCATGTTTTTCAAGGTCATGTGACTTGTTTATAATAAGATATCATATCATCTAGTGTTTGAAAAGTGACTGTGGATGCTTGTGAGGGACTTTCAGAGGCAGATGTAGATGTGTGTGAAGAGCTGGGTTCCTGGCTCTGACCAGAGCAATTCCCCAAGTCACTCGGTGCTGATCCCAGTCTGCCCCATGGCTGGCTACTAAAAGGACCAGTTCTTTTTTGACCGGCAAAGTAATTCGATGGTGGGGCAAACTCAGGATCTCGCTCAGCCCGGAGTTCTGACTGTTTCTTCGACCAGTATCCAAAGGAAAATTCTAGTGAAAATAAGAAAGAGTATTATTAGAAACAACTATGAACCAGTCAAATTTACTGTAATCATTTTTCAGTTCTTACATGCATTTAAAAGCTACCCCAGATTCTCCAAGAACAAGGATAGCAACAAGAAACCCAGCTAAGCAATGGAGTAGCTTTACAACACAAAAAGATTAGAGGAAGGTTCTGTGGAGAAGCTGACAGGCTCTGGACCATACTGCCTAAAGGGCACTACAATTATAGAGAAATGAAATAATTATTTGCTGGAGTTGACATGGTAGTTGCTTCACATCAAAGCAGTCTGTCATTTGTTGAGTTCTGAAGGACACAGATGGCTCTTAGATTTCTCTTGATAGCTCCAGCAGCAGGAGCTAATGTTCCACTGAGTGTCTTTGAAAGAGACACCTTGGTGACAAATTAGAGAACGATGTGCATACACAATGGAAGCTCTGGTAAACTTTCAAACAAACATACAGGACAGCTAAAGACAGAATATCTCAGAACACGAAACCTCCAAACCTCCATCAGACTTTAAAAGCAGTTCCTGAAGTTACATTCCAAAATGTAAAGCCACATCTAACAGTGTGGAATTAAACTGCCCCAGTAATTTTTAGAAATTTATCCTGTGACAGAATGCCTTTGTAGATGCTGGTCTTTTGTGATCACATTTTCCCATTTCCCTATTTATAAACAACTAGTGTCCAGTATGGAGAAGAAACAAATTCAGAGACTTGGAGACTCCCTTAAGCCTCAGGAGCACTAAGACTCACTGTGGGGCTGACAGCAGAGCTCAGAGGTAGAGCTCTTACCAAGTATGTGTAAGACCCCAGATTCCATCTCTACACCACAAAAAAATAAAAACAGAATCTCACTTTGATTTAAAACAAAAACCACCTTTACCAGGGCCTCACTAGGAAGCTTTTCACACCTAAATTTAAGCCCCCCCCCTACCTTTTCCACGGTCCCACTCTCGGATGTGTGGCACTCCAGGCTTGGTATCCTTCCTTTCCTGGATGATGACTTCTACTTTGCTGTTCTGGGCCACAGAAGGTGGAGCAGGTACAGCCTTCGGCTCTGATGGCAAAAGCTCAAAAACATCTCCATCTGGTTTTGTAAGGAAACAGGGTTTAAAATGTTAACATTATAAGCTAGGAGGTGGCGCAGCAAGCACCTTTAGTCTCTGCACTCAAGAGGCATGTTAATTTCCAAGTTCAAGGCCAGTCTGATCTACAGAAGGAGTTCTAGGACAGTCAGGGCTATACAGAGAAACCCTGTCTGGAAAAACCAAAAATTTAACACACTAATTTTAAAGTAAAATTACTCACTAGTGCTAACAGGAGCAGCAAGTGTGTCTTACTAGACAGGAGTGAAGTGGTTTGGCAATGCTTACTTCTCTATGTGAGTGGGTGTGAATGCCACAGCACACGCAGAGGTCAGAGGACAACTTTATGCAGTTGGTCACACTTCTACCTTGATTTTTACCACATAATGAATGCAGCTATCGAAACATCACATGGCACCCCCCAAATATGTAGCTTCTATGTTTTTGTATATATTTTTAAATTTTAATTTTAAAACTTTTTTCTTATATATGTACACAGCCAAACTTTTAAGTCTTGGTTTTCTAAACTGGCATTATAAGAAGCAATTCAATGTGTTATTTGCTAATATCCTTGTCTATTGTCTAAAAACATGAGAGTGTCGTTCTAAAACATTCTAGCTCTAAGAACTGCTCCTGCATCATAAGATGGCTCAGTGGGTAAAGTGCCTGCTGAGGAAACCTGATGACCTGAATCTGAAGCAGGGATTTCACAGAGAAAGCAAAAACCAAACTATTGGAAGTTGTCCTCTGGCCTCCATATCTGTGTGACAGCACATGCTCACCCACACTCACTTACTCTAACAGCAATAATAAAAATTGCTCCTATTTACAGATAAAACTAGGTTGCTGATTCCTACACTGCAACCCTATTAATGTCACACCGATAGATCTAAGATTTCCCTGTTAAAGTCAGAAATTTAAGCCATGATATACCTTTGTTTTCTTCTTCAGTCCCATCTTCCTTTGATTTTTTAATCTTTTTCTGTCGAAGCTTGGCAAGTCTTGCTTCTAACATAGCCTTTCGCTTTTCCTTTATGTTTTCTCGTTTTATTCTCTGATCTGTTGTCTGAACAGAACAAAAAGTTAGAAAATTATTCACTTGAAGTCAAATTCACAATATTTCTGTTTAAAAACATGAAATAATTCTCTTTAAAAAAAAAACTGCTAATTTTCACAGTGCCTCTAAGCAGCTCTCCTCAAGATGCTAAAAACAGTGCCCTGTGAAAGAGAAAGCCACAGCCCTCTGACGCCTTAGGAAGCTTAGTGAGAGCTCACAAAGCCTCCACATGGAAGAAGGTCCAGCTTCCTTAACACAACTTTCTATTTCCTTACCCAGATCATCCAAAAATGCCATGTTTGAAACTAGATTTAAAACAGCAGGGCTGAGAGCTGGAGTCAGTGGTTAAGAATGCTTGCTGCTCTTGCAGAGGACCCAAGCTCAGTTGCTAGTACCCACACGGTAGCTTAAACCCCGTTCTAGAAATGTCCTCTGCAAGAACCATGCATGCATATGGTACACATACATAGACAGCTACAGGAAGAAAATATATAATAGTAATAATAAAATAAAACAGCAAGGCTAGCTAGATGGCTCAGTGGGTAAAGATGCTTGCGACAATGATGCAAGTCTGGCATCCTGAGTTCAATCCCTGAAATCAACACAGAGATAGGAGAAGTCAACTCCGTAAAGTTATCCTCTGTCCACCACACAGGCTATGACACATACACATTATACACACATATACTACTATTAAGAACAAAACAAAACCTAGCAAAGTAAGGCTACTTCCAAAGCAGTTATAATTTTAGAGACTGAAAACCCACAATTATTTGATAGTTACCCATATACAACCAACAATGACATTCTGAATACCAATTTTCATTTTATTTACTATATTTTTTTATTCTTCTCTCATACAAATATATCCTGACTGCAGTTCTTCCTCCTTCTACTCCTCCCAGCCCCCAGCCCAACTCCCCTTTCCCCCCAGATCCACTCCTCCTCTGTTTTCCTTCAAAAAAGGGCAGGCATCCCATGGGTATGAACCAAACATGGCATAACAAGATATAATAAGACTAGATATAGCCGGGCGTTGGTGGCGCACGCCTTTAATCCCAGCACTCAGGAGGCAGAGGCAGGCGGATCTCTGTGAGTTCGAGGCCAGCCTGGTCTAAAGAGCGAGTGCCAGGACAGCCTCCAAAACTACACAGAGAAACCCTGTCTCGAAAAAACAAACAAACAAAAAAAAAAACTAGATATAAACTCTCATATCAGGGCTGGGGTAGGCAACCTAGTGGGAGAAAAAGGTTCTCAAGAGCAGGCAAAAGAATCAGAGATACCCCACTCCCATTGTTTAGAGTCCTGCAAAAAAAAAAAAAAAAAACACACCAAGTTAACAACCATAATATATGGACAGAGGACATAGTTTGGATCCACACAGGCTTTGTGATTGCTGTTTCAGTCTCTGTGAGTCCTACAAGAGTCCTGCTTAGTTGATTCTGTGAGCTGTGTTCTCCTGGTGTTCTCAACCTGTCTAACTCCCATTTTTCCAAATTGTTCCCTGATGGAAGGGACCTGATGGAGCTCTCCAATTTGGGCTCTCTCTGCCCAATGCTTGGCTATGGGTCTCTGGATTTACAACACTTTTTAAAAGCATGACCTATCAATAAAAAAATCATTCAACTCCATACAAAAATTTCAAATTTAACTTGTACCTGTTCACGAAGCATCTCTAAAGTTTTCATTTGCTTGTTTCTCAACTCTTTGTCTCGGGCAAAGGCAAAATACCCAACACCAAGTTGCCTGGCCTCTGAAATAATCAAGTATCAAAAGATTAGATTTCTCTGATTAGCAAACAACAAATACAGAAAGTTCTCTAACAAACAAAAAGAGACACACAGTGATATTTGCACAAGCTGGACGAAGGAAGGAAGGAAGGAAGGAAGGAAGGAAGGAAGGAAGGAAGGAAGGAAGGAAGGAAAGAAAGAAAGAAGGAAGAAGTCAAATGGCTGTCTTCTCTTCTCTCTGGGAATGGATTCTTGGGCTAACAGACATGTTAGGAAGAGGTTCCCAAGTTTCTCAGGCTGTAGACAAAGGGGATAGTTTCGTACTCTAAAGCAGTCTGACACCTGGCTTTGTGCCTACCACAAAGACTAGAGTCTTTTAAAAAAGACTTTAACATGGCTCAGAAGTTAAGAACACTGACTGCTCTTCCAGACAACTGAAGTTCAATTTCCAGCATCCATACGGCAGCTAACAACTGTCTGTAACTCCAAGATCCAACACCCTATACAGACATACATGCAGGAAAAACACCAGTGTACACAAAATAAGAATAAATAAATAATTTTTAAAAACACAATACACACGCACATACACAAATAGATACCCCCCCAAATACCATTTTCCCGAATGTCTTCATAATGGATGGGCCCCATTGGCTTTTTGAGGGCCTCCCTTTCTTCTTCCTCCCATTGCTGTCGCTGAAGTTCTTTCCTCATGTCTTCAGATAATAGAGTTTTTTCATTAGCAGGACTAACAAAACTAGTAGAGGAATAGAAACCTATGTTCAAGCGAGTGCCATGAGACAGCAACACACAGTATAGCCGGTAGAGCACGGCTACGTGACACCATTTGGAAAGACATCAGCTCCTGCAGAGGTTTCTGACTGAGAAGGCAATACAACTGCTTCAATATTTTTTAGCAAGCATTTATATATTGTATGTATATGTATATACATAGGAGCATGCATGCAAATATGCATATATGCCACAGCATGCATGTAGAGGTAAGGGGACAACTTTCAAAAGTCTAATTTTTCCTTCTACCATTTGGGTTCCCAGAATTGAACTGAGGTCATCAGAAATTAGCAGCAAGTACGTTAGCCTGATAAGTCATCTTGCTGACTCTATTTTATCATTTTTAAATCAATTACCAGACTTACACATGAGTATGATAGGATCTTGCCTCAGTGTTCAAAACAAATGACTTTCCTTTCTTCACTTTGCCTGGCTGACATATGGGAGGCGGCCTAGCCAGGAAGGATGAACCATTAGACTTCTCTGAATGGCCTCTTGTCTGATGACATAGACATGGCTAGAGTTCCTCCTGTCCCAGCAGGTGGCCATGGTTTATATTGTGGTCTCTGTGTGCTTACTCCAGGTCTACCCACAGGATGCCTAAGACAGGAGGGCTCACACAGGTGGAGCTTCTCCAATACTTCTCTTATAAAGGCTGACTTTACAGAATTTTAATCACCAAGATACTTTTGAATGTTATTTCTTTGGTTCCAGCCTTTGCTTCGATATACAAAGACATATAAAAAGAAATGAATAAAAACAAGTGAACCGTCTCAAAGCCCTCTGTCCATAAAGGCTTGTTTGTTAGCTAGATTTGGGCTCATTCTGTATTTACAACCTAAATCAGACATCCTTCCATTCAACAGTCTACTTGTCCCTTTCAGCAGTTACAATGCACATGACAAGAACAGAGTGCCTGCCTGGAAACCTAAGTCAGAAGAATCAATTAAACCTAGTTCCAGGCCAACCCAGGGAATAACGTGACTCATTTTCCCCAGTCCCCAAAAACATGGGCTTCAGAAAAAGAAAACCAGTAAATAAACGACAATGACATTCAGGTTGCTCCCTAAGCACAAGTGAAGAATGTCTGAACATGCTAACTGTTACATGCTTCAGTATATATCCTTACACATTAAAGATCTTAACAGAGCAACAACAGTCATTCCATAGCCTCTCCTACAAGACAATCCCTGTGACTTCATTCCAAACAACACATTTTACACTTACAGCCTTCCCTGAAGATTTTTATCCATCTCCAAAAGATCTGGTAAGTCCTTTCTCATGCAGCGCCGGGATCGGCCCAAAGAGTCCACGTAATCCACCCTGAAAGTGAGAAGTTGGGAAGACAGTTAGTACAATGGGCAGATCCCTATGTGAAGGAGCTGGCACTTAAAGAAGCAATGTCATTACAGAGCTTATTACCAAGAACTTTGAAGCTGAGGTATCACTAATACAGAGAAAAATCTTCTTAATTAGCAAATGACACCCAATAAGCTTTTTGTGCCCTCCACAAAACCTCAGTTTTAGAAACTGTAGGAAGGAATTAATCATTTATTGTTTCTGATTTTAAAGACAATTTACCAATGCAGAAATTGCTGTGACATGGAAGAACTCACTTAAATATAGTGGACACAACTCTATTGTTGTATCTGCATTTGATCACTGAACTATGTATCCTAGATTTTCATTACTCCCCCGCCACAGTATACTCAGGTCTTACTTTTCTATTACTGCTCTACTTTTAATTGTCACATTCTTTCCAGCAATCTTAGGCGTTTCTTACTGTAAGTCATGGTATTTTTTGGACCCCCTTTAACTAAGAAGAAGACAAACACTATATACCTTTCTTCATCTTTGCTCAAAGCAGACAGTAGGGACAGGGTGATCTGGGCACAAAGCAAGGCTAAACAAAACACTGAAACTTCCTAACAACACAAAGTATGGGCAGGTTTTCACAAAAAACATCTCCTTTGCACTATGGTGCAGATTTTTTCATATCTGTTATCCTAGGCAAAAAATCTCCCACAGTCTGGAACAGAGTGGACGACACACAATTAAAGATCTAATATAGGCTGTGAAGCAAGTTATCAGCAAAGCAACTGGTCAGACTCAGCTAGCTCTGCTGTTGCCTGCAATTTCTTTACTCTCAAGTGATGCTGACTTCTTTCTTAGCCCATGTTTTAAAAACCAAACACTTGGGAATCCACTTCTACAGTCCTACAGACGACTGTCACAAGAAATCAGACCTACAACTATATAAAACAGCATCTTCATTTTCTTTTTTCTTTTTTTAATGAATGGGGGGATAACCATCTGGCCAGATGGTCCACGTAATTATTTACAGTATTTTTGCAGAAAGATTTTCTACCACCTGGAATTTAATTACCAAAAGGATTTACAAGCAGTCACAATTCTGGAGCTTAATTCAAAAACAACAACAACAAAAATGTGAGAACTGCTTGCAGTGCGTCTTACAGCTCCATATGGTGTCATGCGACACCTTCAATTGCCCTCCAAACTCTTCAAATCGCTGACAAATTGCTTGTAATCATACAGGCATTAATAAGAAAAAAATTAAAAGACATTAGAGTATTCAAAAGAGATGAGATTTCTGCCTTGAAAGGCAATCACAGCTATTCTGTTCTGGAGCAAGTCTCCAAAACACAAAGAACATCAGCAAAAGGAATACTGTAGTCAGCAACAGCTCCAGCTCATCAGCAACCACTTACTGAGCAGTCCCAGCCAGCACAAACCTAGAGGAACTGGGTGAGCAGAGGAGGGCTGAGTACCCTAGCTCTACAGGGCTCTAGGGAAACAGAAGGGGTGCATGCCAGAAAACAATTCAGGCAGATTATAAAAAGCAAGTAAGGAGCCACATAGTGGTAGCACACACCTTTAATCCCAGCACTCGGGAGGCAGAAAGAGGAGGGTCTCTGTGAGTTGGAGGCCAGCCTGATCTACACATTGAGTTCCAGGACAGTCTCCAAAGCTACACAGAGAAACCCTATCACAAAAAAACAAAACAAACAAACAAACAACCAAGCTGGGCAGTGGTGGCACATGCCTTTAATCCCAGCATTTGGGAGGCAGAGGCAGACAGATTCTCTGTGAGTTTGAGTCCAGCCTCAAATAGGCCTTTAAATAGGCCATCTACAGAGAAAGCTCCAGGATAGCGGGAGCTGGTATACAAAGAAACCCTGTCTTGAAAAGCAAAAAAATAAAAAAACAAAAAAAGCAAAAGTTTGGCTCAAACGTTTCGGTGTTAATAAAGCCTAGGGTGGGTCAACTATAAATAAAGGATAAGATTAAAAAAATACTTCAGGAAGCAAGTACTTTGACGACAAATGATGAAGAAAGGCACTGAGAGGCTATGGTCTACAATAGTCTCTAACTTCAGATTTAAATTATTTAAAAATGGACCACAGTGGACACCATCCACAGTAGCAAAAACTTCTCTTTATGCATAAATATATGTCCAAAGGGGCTAGCAAAAGGCTAAGAATCCACAAACAGTCCTGAGCAGTTGCTAAGAAATTCCCCCAGAACAAGAGTACATGATCAGCTGGGCGTGGTGGTGCACGCCTTTAATTCCAGCACTTGGGAGGCAGAGGCAGGCAGATCTCTGCAAGTTTGAGACCAGCCTGGTCTACAAGAGCTAGTTCCAGGACAGCCTCCAAGGCCACAGAGAAACCCTGTCTCGAACACCACCTCCCACCCCTACCCCACCCCCCAAAAAAAAAAAAAAAAAAAAAAAAAAGAGAGAGATCGGGACATCAGAATGAGTGTCTGAGTGACATAAAAGACACTGTAATGGAATTCGTACTCTGATCTGTATAAGGTTGGGTTCCTCCATCCTTTATGTGCACACAAGTAAAACCCAGGAAAATGTCAATAATGGAGCTCTGCAAAGAATCTGCTTTGTTCCTGGAGTGGAACACACTTGCTTCCAGGAGGGAATTTAAAGGAAATAGCTGTGACATTGAAGCACTGCGTCGCTACTTTCTATGGATGGAAGCTAGGCCTCAGAGAGACTGCAAACTTACCAGGTTCACACAGGCAGAAGGCAGTACTAGAACCCACACCTCAATACCAGAAAACAAGGTAACTAGAATACAGCTTACTGTGCCTACCCTGCCAGATTCTTTTGCTGGACTCACATCTGAACCAGGGCACACAGGTAAAGAAAGCCACATGGTAGTAAGGGAGCAGGACACTGATGCCAAGGGTCCGTGGATCTAGTACCACACTGGGCACAGCAAATGCTAAGTTCTTGTCTGCAGTCCCTGATGTTACCTCTCCACTGGTGCACTTAAATCTATACAAGCAATACACTAGCTCATCCCAACTTAGAGGGGTGGTTCCTGGGAACAGAAGACCCACACAGATTAAGAAAAAAATGATGTGGTAACCATCAAGGAAAATGACTCTCAAAAAGCCAATACAAGTCTGAGGGGATCACTCTGATCTAATCCCCAATATTACCCACCATTCCTCGCTGGGGTCTTGGGGAGGAGGTATGTCTTTTTCAGAAAACTCTTCATCTTCATCATCACTTTTCTCTTCTGTGTTTCGAGAATCTCTAGTGGCACCGAGCACCGCCATTTCTTTTCGCTTGTCTATAATCTTCTGTGTGAAATCCACAAGGTACATGTCCTCCACTTCCTCATCTAGAGAACAAAATTTAATTTACAGATTCTTTACATTAAAGAAGAAAATCCTAACTGGAACTAAGAAGTGGCCCCACTACCTGATTGTTCACCAGTCAATGCCTCCACTTGGGACAATTTACAAAAAAAGACACAGACACAAAGAACCTGCCAGGAAACTTTAAATAGGCTATCCAAAACACAGACCACAATACTTAAAAAGGCTCATGTTTCCTGCTGTGTCATCAAGACATTGTGGGGGCAATAGGAACATTTAAGACAGCACAGACATCTGATTTTGAACAACTCACAGCTAACCACACAGCTAACCACGCATGAGAGAAGCAGAACAGCATTTCTCCCAATCAAGACAGTGGACCTTTCTTGTTGTGGTGTAACAGGCCTTTCTAAACTTAGGAGTTGCATCACTTAACTCTTACACTGATGTGTGATAGGAAGTGCTTGAAAGGTTCTCTGAAGCTGGGGCATGGTGTGTACACCTTTAATTACAGCCCTTAGGAGGCAGAGGCAGGTAGATCTCTAGTTCAAAGTCAGGCTGATCTATATAGTGAGCTCCAGATACATACGTACACACATACATGTACACACACACACACACACACACACACACACACACACACACATCCTCTGAGTTCTTTTCACAAGTGAACATCATTTTCATACAAGGCCTGGAATCAGGCTCTACAGGGATGAACTCAACATATTTTTTTTTCCTAAGGGCAGAGATTGAGCTACAACAGACACTGGGCTCCCTATCATCAAAGCGGTGATGCTATTCCCCTTGACAGTGTTACAGTGGAGACAACTAAGGCCCCAAGACTTAACCAGCTCAGACATACAGGTACAATATAAGCAGTAGGAGGTGGGCCTACTGGCTTTGGCAAAACCCAATTTCCACAAACACATTGTTGTGACGGATTTACTGTATTTTCATTTTATTTTAAATTACATATATGAGGGAGAGGAGTGCATGGGAGTGTAAGTGCCCTCAGAAGGCAGAAGATGACATCAGTTCTCCTGTAGCTGGAGTCACAAACAATTGTGAGTTGCCCAACATGGGAGCTGGGAACCAAAATTTGTTCCTCTGTAAGCACAGCAAGTGCTCTTAACTGTTAAGCCATCCCTCCAGTCTCTGGATGTGTATAGTAACAATAAAAATTTGAACGAAAGGAAAAAAGAATAAAATGAAAAGTTTTCAAAGCCACATAGTATCTTAAAAGGGAAGAGGTATGTTCTCTGAGAGGTGAGACGCAGATGGACACACCAGTGAGGCATCCTGGAGATGACCACCTTGTTCCTCTTGGAGTGCAGCATTATCACTACAGCCCCCGATTCTGAACGACTAACTCTGGACTCCCAAAGCGCAGAAGAGCCATGCCATTTGAGAAGAGGCAAATGAAGGCCCGCACCCACTGGTGTCTTGTTCGCTAGACAAGATGGAACTGCCAAGCTCCAGTCCTCCCCTCTCTGAAGATCGATCTGCTCTTACCACTCTCTCCTACAGGGTCCTTTTCTCCAGCTTACCAGGTCAAAATCCATTTTCTTCTAGAAATTTTCTGAATTCCTACTTAGTCTCCCTGCTCCCTGTCAATAGTGTGTACACTGACCCAGAAAGTCTCTTACACTGTTGCCCAACTATGAATTCTGCTTTCTGTTTCAGGGGGATATAGCAAAAGGGAATTTTATTATAAATGTTTAAACCAATTATAAGCACATCATACAACTACTAATTGAATATACCATGAAGTCGAAATTACTTAGGGTACGGAGAAATGATAAATTGATATGATAAAGGAAAGAGGCAAGGAAAGGGGGAAAATACAGTAAGCAAAATTAAATAAAAAGAGAAGAGGAATGGAAACAAATATTCTGGAGAGAAAAGAAAAAGTGCAAGGGATTATCAAAAAGAAAAGTGAAGATTTCCCAACCGGATAAATGTAAGAAGAGAACTAAAAATTAAAAATGTAAGATGTATCAGTGGGTAAGTACTTGCTGCCCAAATGTGAAGACCTGAGTTTGAATCCCCAGAACCTACATAAAACCTACATGAAACACATCCCAGTGATCCTATGGCAGCAAGGTAGGAGAGGGAATAGACCCCTCAGACTCAGTCTCAAACAAGGCGGGAGGTGAGGAGCAACACATGCTGCACAACCATATTGTGTCATGAATATGTCCAAACTCACACATACTAACATGTACACATACATCATACACATACACACAAATAAAAATGAAATAATGCAAAAACATGAAATTAAAAAAAAGCACATCACATAAATAAAACTGAAAGTAGAGGCAAATCAGGAAAGGGGCAGCATAACCCCAAGTGCCTACATGTGACCATAACTCTACACACCTTATTTTTTTCCAATACATGTGGCTGTTTCAACATGCAAAGCTGGTCTGTTTAAACTGTTTCCTGGTACTGTGCTCTCCTCCTCCACCAGATGAGATCTACTGGGAGGGCAGCAGAACTGGTTTCCTATGCTCTCCTGTTCCTTCCTGGCACAAGCTGCCTGGCACCCAGTGGACCATCAGAATATTCCTGAATATTCTTGTCTCTATGTAGCCACTGAAAGCAAACGTTTGACTTGATTTTATAAAGTTCTCCCTCCTAGAATTATTCAAACAAGTAATATAATACTGAGGATCTATATGAATTATAAACAATAAAGAAATATAAATAAACTTTGGTTTACCTGGAAAGTCTCCTTTAGTCATCTTTTCATATAATTTGGCTTTTTCTTCCAATTTTTCCCTAAGGGGAAAAAACAGACAAGTATTAGAAATGGTCTTACAACTGTCCCTTCTGCCACCAACCTATCAGCCTGCCATTAAAAGATGGGCACAGCATGTGCTGACTGTCCTATCCTAAAGAGACCTCTGACCCACCTCATCTACTTCATCAGCAAAAGCAGGACCTAAAGCCACACCTGTACAGAGTAACTGCTCAGTAAATATCTGATGAGTGAATAAATGGGATGCACTGAGTTAAGGCTCCAACAATCTAACTACCAAATGCCACTTAAGTTACATGTGAAAAGAGAGATGTATCTAAACAACATTTTTTTTATTAAAAATCTTCTAAAAGGACCACCAGATTCAAGGTAAGTCTCTTTGTCATAGAGTTTTTAGACCAGGGTTCTGGTCATTTGTGGCTTATTACACTCTTTATACCAGCTTATATTTGTTAAAAGCATGACAGTATCTATTTCAGTAGCACAAATAATACACTCAATCCACAGACTAATGTAAGACAACAACCCTGGTATGTCAACAAAGCAGCCTCTCTGCTCACATAATGTTGGTGGCATTTAGCACGTAATGACAAGCTAAAAGGGCCAGAAATTCTTTAATTGCCTAAAAAGAGAAGCCCAAAAGAAGCCATCTGTGTCATGATCTCATCAATCATAATGGGAAATTTAACTCCTAATGGCATGAAGAGACTACAAAGCCCCTGGGTCACATGATTATAACAAGTTACTTAACCTTTCTGTGTCTCGGCTCCTATAGACTGATAGAAAAGCAAATTCTTTTTATTGCTTCTATGGGTTGTCACAAAAATTAACTTGATAACACAAAGTAATGTCATCTTCCCATCTTCACTGTCATGTAAATTAGCAAGGTGGTTCAATTGTGTGTGTGTGTGTGTGTGTGTGTGTGTGTGTGTGTGTGTGTGTGTGTGTGCGCCCATGTATGAATGTACATGTAAAGATCAGAGCCTGACCTCAGGTGTTATTCCTTAGGAGTTAACCACCTTGTTTTTGAGACAGGGTCTCTTAGTGGGACCTGGAACTCCCTAAAGAAGCTAAGCTGGCCTGGGCAACCTATGGGGCCCTGAGCTGTGGATCAGTGTCTATCCCTGGAATACAAACAGTCATCGTGTGCCTATAGCACAAAGAGGGATGCTCTCTCAGCCTGGACTCTTAGGGGAGTGCCTGGACCCTACCCAGAGTGAAATGACAGACTCTAGATATCCCCTATGTGGAAGGATTTGGCAATAGGATGAGAGGGTGGGGGAGAAGGGGAGTGCGGGAGGAGGGGAGGGAGAGGGAACTGGGATTGACATGTAAAACAAGCTATTTAAAATTAAAATAAAAAATGATAAAAAAAAAAAAAAGCTAAGCTGGCTGAACACTAAGCCCCAGGATCTGCCTGCCTCTGATCCTCAGCAGTGGAATTACAAATCTACACCACCATGGCTGCCTTTTCTATGAGGATTTTGGGGACTCATAGGCCCTCATGGGTGTACAGCAAAACACCTTGCCAACTGAGCCATCTCCCCAATCCAATGAAGCTGCAGAGTTCTTATGTACAAAAGCAGATGGTTATTATGGCAGATGTTACAATTTGGAATTCTCCAAGCACAGACTACTGCTTGTTCTTTGCAAAACATTGCTAGCTAATAAACAGAGGAAACCCACTAATAATTCAGCAGCAGCAAGGCTTGCCAACAATACAAACCACACATGGAAATATATTAGTGACCAGGATACTTAGTCACAAAGTTTCCCATCCCAGTTACTATTAACCACATAGGAGAAAGGGCATCTTCACAGTAGAGAAATCTATCAGACTTTTTCTAATCAAGTGATCAAACCCATTACCAATAATGATCCAAACTGACAATTATGAGCCTCTGGGTAAGATTCACTATAAGACACAAAGACTACACAGTATTCTTTTCTTTTTTGTTTGTTTGTTTTGTTGAGACAGGGTTTCTCTGTATTGCTTAGGAACCTGTCCCAGAACTCTCTCTGTAGACCAGGCTGGCCTCGAATTCACAGAGATCTGCCTGCCTCTGCCTCCTGAGTGCTGGGATTAAAGTCATGTGCCACCAGCACCCAGCCCTACACAGTATTCTTAACAAAAAACTTTAAGGTAACATCATTAAGACATGGCAGGAAAAAAAAAAAACTATGGGTAAACTTCAGCAGGGTAACTGACAACAAAGGGGAAAAGAACTGGAGAGATTTCAGTCAGAACTAAAGGCAGAAATGGAATATAATCTTTGAATCCTGAAATTTTTTTCTCCTCACTTTTCAAACAGGTTTTCTCTGTTCCAGCCCTGGCTGTCCTGGAACTCACTTAATGAATCCTGCCTGAATTTTTACAAAACCTGTAGGGAAAGGGGGCCAGTCAAAGAAACACACCCTGAGCAGAGCCAAAGAAACACACTTTGGCCCTGCAACCAGAACTAAAGAAATTTACCCTGACCCTGAAACCAGTGCCAAAAGAACACACTTTGTCCCTGGGATCAGAGTCAGTGAAAGAAATGCACCCTGGCCCTAAAATTGGAGCCTAAAGGCTACAAAGGACCAGAGAAAGAAACACACTTTGGCTCTGAAACCAGAGCCAAATCTGACCCTAATCCTGTGTAGAAAACTAACCAATCTTCGAGCAGAGCTCTAGCCAATCTGAGCTCAGCACTAAAATCTGACCAATCCCCACCCTGGAAACCCTATATAAACCCTGTGTCTGTTCAGCTTGTGGCTGTTCCCGATACCAGGCTGTCCTCTGCCACTAGCGTGGCAGAAGGCAGCCACTCTCCTGGATTCTTCCTTCCAATAAACCCCTTCAATGAGTTTGGGTGAAGATATTTTGCAGCTGCGGCGAGTGAGCAGGGCTGTAACTCTTTCGCCGGGGAAATCTTCCCTTGGCAGAGCGGAGTTGTTACACACTACTGCTCTCCTCTCTCCTGGAGCAGAGCTGAACTGTAGCAACTTCATCAGAGAAACCTGCCGAGCAAAACTGGGCGAACATCCCCAGCTGGAAGACTCTGTCCTGCCGGAGCAGAGCCGATACACTGGGGAAGCCTTTCCCTGAGGCTGGGCTGTAAGCAGCTAAGATTACTGCAACCTGTGGTGGTCCTTGGCTCCCAAGTTCCAGGATACCTTTCCACCTGAGCTGTGTAACACTCAGTTTTCTGTTACTCCTGAGTGCCAGAATACCCATCCCAACCCAGATCCGCCCAAAATGCAAACAAAACCTATTTACAACATAGTTGTGTTGGGACAACTGGTAAGATCTGAAACATGAGCCACACAATAGTATTAAATATATTAGTATAATGTCCTTGTTCAGATAGATATATACTGAAATATCATAGGTAAATTATCATGACACTTAAAGTCTTTCTTTATAGGTGTTGGGGAAGGACAGAGGAAAGTAAATATGACAAAATGCTAATTAGTGAATTTAGGAGACAGGTATTAGAATGTTCCTTTTATCCTTTTAATTATATTCTTGATTTGGGAGGCAAAGTTTGGGGTCTCTAAATACTAATACTAGAACACACCATGGGACACTTCTTTTTTTCTTTTAATTAATCAACCATTTATTTAACATCCCGATTGAAGTTTCCCCTTCCTCCTCTCCTCTCAGTCCCTCCTCTCTGCATCCCCATTCCCCAAACTACTCCTCTGTTTCTGTTTAGGAAAGGACAGGTCTCCCATGAGTATCAACAAAACATAGCATATCAAGTTGCAGTAAAACTACACCCTTCCCCATGTATTGAGGCTGGGCAAGGTGATCCAGTATGGGGAGTAGGGCCCATGGGACACTTCTTAAAAACGTGTTAAGTTGAAGATGTGGCTCAGTGGACAAGACCATGGGATTCCATCCCTAAAAGTACAAGTTTTAAAAAATTGTTGATGGGCTGGAGAGATGGCTCAGAGGTTAAGAGCACAGATTACACCTCCAGAGGTCCTGAGTTCAATTCCCAGCAACCACATGGTGGCTTGCAACCATCTGTAATGAGATCTGGTGCTCTCTTCTGGCCTGCAGGCATGCAGGCAGGCAGAATATGGTATACACAATAAATAAATAAAAAATAAAATAAAATAGCCGGGCGGTGGTGGCGCACGCCTTTAATCCCAGCACTCAGGAGGCAGAGGCAGGCGGATCTCTGTGAGTTCGAGGCAGGGCTGGACCGATAGCCTCCAAAACAATACAGAGAAACCCTGTCTCGTAAAAACCAAAAAAAAAAAATAAATAAAAATAAAAAATAAAAAAAAATTGTTGATATAGACCAGGTGGTGGTGGCCCAAGCTTTTAATCCTAGTATTCAAGAAGCAGAAGCAGGTGGATCTCCGAGTTCAAGGCCAGTCTGATCTACAGACTGAGTTCCAGGACAAGCAGAGTTATGCAGAGAAACTGTCTCAAAAAACAAAAAAGCAAGCAACAACAACAAAAAAAAATTATCGACACGGCTTTTTCTTTTTCTCAGGCTGCTGGAAAGATGGCAGACATTTAGACCAGCCGTGCTTACCAAAAGCAGCCCATGGTCTTTTAAAACATCAGTCAAGGCTTCAAGATGCTCAAAGAGGCCATCAAGGGCACCTAAACAGACAAGAAATGCCTCTTCACTAGTAAATCTCCATCCAAGAGCAGATCCTGCCTGGTGTTGTAACCAAGATGGAGGTGCAGAGGCCCACTGTCATCGGCTAGAACCATATCTACTATATCCAAAAGTACAATCGCTCTGAGAAGCACCACAAGAACATATCTGTAAACCTGTCCCCTTTTTGGGAATCTACAGACCACTGACATTGTCACCGTGGGAAGATGAAGGCCCGAGTAAGACAGTGCATTTCAATGTACTCAAGGTCACCAGGCTGTCAGCACCAAGAAGCAGAACCAGAAGTTCTGAGAGGATGCTGGCCAACTCCCAGAACAAATAAAGTTATTTTCCAAATTAAAAAAATATATATTGTTGTTATATTTAGTATGTGATAAAAGCTCAAAACAGGACCCTATTTCATCTTCTAAGCTGGGTTTTTTGTTTGTTTTTATTTTTGTTTTGTTTTGTTGTTTGGTAAGACAACATTTATGTGTAAGTTTTTTAGAAGACAGCTGGCTCTCCATATCTAGACTCCACATCTCCAGATTTCACTAACTGGAAGGAAAAAAACACTCCAAAGCAATGTTAAATATTGTTGCTAATATATACTATGTATCTGTCTTTTTGGCATTATTCCTAACAATACAGAATAACAACTATTTACAAAGCATTTACACCATATTAGGCACAGCAAGTAATCTAGAAAAGACTTTAAAGTATACTGAATGTTTCCACAGGCCACACTATTTTATCTATTTTGAGCATCCTTGAGCTTTAGCATCTGAGAAGAGTGGGATCCTAGAGCCAACCAAAGGTCCTCAGATATAAAGGGACACTGTATTTACATTTACAGAGTATATGGCTAGTCAGATCTGTACATCAGGAAGAGTCACATCTGAATGTCTAGCTCTTGGTCTGGTAACTCCCCTTTCAGGGGTAACTACCTTGCTTTGTCTAAAGTCTTCTGCTCCTCAAGCTTCTGTTCAGCATCCTTCTCTGCTCGACTGGAAACACCGGCATTTTGCTTGGTCCAGATACTTGGCTTCTGGAGAGTGATTCAAAAGAACAAAATAAAGCCATGTGATCACAAAGCAGTTTCCATTTTGTGCATCAAAAAGGAGAGAAAATTCTTAGATCTCATGAGTCATCAAAGAACTACTTATTCTTACAGCTAACTTACAGCTCTCAGCAGACATGACAAAGCTGGAGCTGAAGAAAAGTCCTCAACTACATAAAGAATTTCTTGCTGAACTTCACTGAGTTACTTTCTCAATTGACTTTCACCCATGACTGATTACAACATCATTCAATATTCTAATGAACATGAGCAGAATACACAGAAACATAGATTACAATATATAAAAACTTTAAAACTCTTAAAGTCTTTCATATTTTAAGTCTATTTCTATATTTTACAATTGTTTATCTCTGTTTGGACACAAAATACATGACAATCTTCCATGAGAATGTAAACAATCCACTTATTAACAGTAAGTGGAAGAGGAATATTGGGACTAGATAGATGGCTTAGCATTCTTTACGAGAATTTACTGCTCTTGCAAAGGATCTGAGTGCAGTACCCAGCACCCACACAGCTTGACTCACAACCACATATAACTCCAGTTCCAGGGGATTCAACATCCTTTTCTAGTCTCTGAAGGCACCCATACAGATAGCACACACATGCATGACATATGTATACACACATATGTAAAATAAACCTTTCTAAAGAGTATAAATAATCTTACTAACTGTACTATTTAACAATGTTTATGCAAATGTTCAGTGATTAAGTCAGGAATTTTTTTCTTTAACATTTCCTTATTTATAGATAACCATTGACATTTTCTAAAAACTTAAAATATAATGCAATTCTCCCATATTTAGAATCAGTAGAGATACTTTTACCTTATTAGTTGTCTTTGGTTTTCCAAAAATTCCAGAATCTTTCAGAAGTTTCTCTTGTTTGAATTCTTCTTGTTTTCGGAAGAGCTCAGCTTTAAGATCTACCAACTAGAATAAAACAAGAAAGTAAACAACAATATTTGATTCAATTCTGGCAGGTGACTGGATTGCTAAGCAACTGTCATTCTCCAAGGAAGGTTTCAGCTTCATGAACATGGACAAGAAACAAAAGTTTAAATACAGAACTCCATACAAAATTAAACAGCATTGGATTTCATTGTAGTTTTGCTACAAATATAGCTCTACTCCAACTTTACCACTCAACCCTCTTTTCTGCCAAGGGGAAAGCCACGTAGTAAAGTAAACAAATGAAATCTACAAGTTCAGATAAGATTCAACTAATTTCTGAAGCACTTTCTGTTTGTGGGACATATAAGCAGAAGTATAGGGTCAAGTTTTACTTGTTTTTTGTTATTGTTTTGGTTTCAGTGTTTTGAGATAGGGTTTCTCTGTGTAGCTCTTGGGGTCCTGGAACTTATTCTGTAGATCAGGCTGGCCTCAAACTCACAGAGATCTATCTGCCTCTACCTACTGAGGAGATTAAAGGCAAGGGCCACCACTGCCCGGTGACTTGGTTTGTTTTTAAAAAGGCTAAGTTTAACTGAATCTCAGGGTTTGAAAATGGGACAGGGAAGCACAGGTGAAGAGAATGGGGCAGGTGGCCAAATACTTGCACCATCCACTAAGCTGTATTAGTTCTAACAGTATGAGGGGGGTGGGCAATGACATAATGGCAAGTGGTAACATATACAGGCATTTGTAAATCAGATACTACTGGCTGACAAGGCAAATAAAAATGACTGAGCTCAGAGGCTAAAGAGATGAGTCAGAAGCTCTTACAGAAGACTCAGGTTAGGTTCCCAGAACCCACATGTGGCATACATTAACTCCAGTTCCGGGGGATCCAATGCCCTCTTCTGGCTTTCCAGGGTACCAGGCATACATGTTGTACATATGAAGATGCAGGCAAAACAATTACACACAAAATAAACCTTTCTTTAAGTGATTCCTTTTATTTTTTATTTTTATGTGCATTGGTGTTTTTGCTTGCATGTATATCTGTGAGGTGTCAGATTCCCTGGAACAGGAGTTACAGACAGTTGCAAGCTGCCATGTGGGTCCTGGGAATAAACCAAGGTCCTCTGGAAGAGCAGCCAGTATTCTTAACCTCTGAGCTTTCTTTCCAGCCCCATAAATCTTTTTTTTTTTAATTACTGAGTTCAGTGATTTCTATTTAAAAGAAATTCATTCAAAGGTACTGCAGGCAGGGATTTTAATAATGTAAAGGAGTTTCACTCCAGGACCCAATATTCAAATTCTTCAAAAAGAAAGAAAGAAAGAAAGAAAATTTTGCCTTTTAACTCTTCTTAAATGCACCAATTATCTAGTTATATGTTTTCTACCCTATAACTACTTCTGGATTTAAGCTCACAAAATGACCAATTCCTGGACTTCATTTGTATAGTAACTACTAAAAATGTTATTCTCTGGATAATATAACTTTAGTTTGTTTTGTTTTTTAAAGATGGGGTCTCACTGTGTAGCCCTGGATATTTTGAAACTATGTAGCTCGGGCTGGCCACTGAGTCACAGAGATCTAGTCACCTGTCTCTGCGTCTCACATACTGGAGTAAAAGGGTATGTGCAACTACACCCTGTTTAATTTAGTTTGTAAGTACTGAATCCAAATTCTGGCAAATACTAGATACAACAAGGGATGTTTCTCTTGTATCCTCATAGTCTTAGTAAATTTGAGATTAAGTCAAAGGTTAGGCAATTTGTTCTGAAGTAATAGGAAAACAAACATTTTGCAGTCAATCAAGCTGAGTGATGGGGTTCTCACGACAAATCTGTATGTAAATTGAGGAAACTAGGATTCACCTTTGGGTGTGAACTTCATCCTCCATGAAGCGTGACCATTAATAGCACTTACATCCTAAGGCATTTCTGGGGCCTCAATGGCAGCATGCATATGAAGCGCTGGTACAATACTGTGTACGGTATTTAAAAGTTTTCTGCTCAAAGTAGTTACGTTAGCAAAACTCCTTACATCCTGTCAGCCCTCATGGCCCCGGGCAGCTCATCCCACAGGGCACTAACTTGTCTGGCTCTTGCTAGGGAGACCCTGGCTACTCTGGAGTCCTGGGGAATCGAATCGCACGCCAATGCTGGAGAAGGACTTTGCTGATCTCTGGCCTGGAGAAGCCACAAAGGGTACACGTCCTCCAGGTCCCCTGGCTGGACTGTGGCGGCTGACCCGCAGGATGCACCCTGAGGACCCTGGGCGGACGGCTTCCGGGACCTGTCCGTGGGGCGAGCCTAGTCCAAGTGACTGACGAAGCAGGGGTCAGGATCCCGTGAGTAAGGAAGCTGTCGAGGGTCCCCACGGGGAGAGAGCCAGTCTAGAGTCCCTGTCAGACGGAGCGTCCAGGCCCTCCTGGCCTGCGTGAGGCAACAGGTCGCCATTCTCGACTGAAAAAAGCGGTGGGAACGCGGAGCACGTAGCTAAGCCACACTCGAACTCACCGAGGAGGCTGTAACGTCCAAAGGCTTTTTCTTTCGGTCCATCGTCCCGCCTGACTGCCGGATCCCCAAGACCGAGACTCCAGGTCTCTGCCAGGCTTCCTGCGGCGGAACCGGAAGTGCCTTTGTAGCGACGCTGAGTTTACGTAATTTTGCGACACAGATTTACGATCTCGGCGCCATCTTGAAAGTGTCAATAGGATTACCTAGCCGTCTCGTCGCCATTTTGAGAAGGTCAGAGGGTGCCGGAGAGGTGAAGTTGATCGTTGTGGGCGTCGTGAAGAGAGCAGAAAGTGCGAATGGCTGGTATCGTCGTCTTGAGACAGACGGAAATTGTTTTCTTTACAGCTGATGCCACAATGAGCGGAGCGCCTTGGGCGATGGAAAAGAATGGCGCCATCTTGTGGAGGGCTGTGTAAACTCGCGTCTTCATGAAAATGGGGATTTAGTAAAACTGGGAAAACATTATTTGAAAACGGGCTTTGAAAAAAATCTGTCAGTTTATTTTGGTTTTCTTTCTTTGTTTTTAAAAGATTTATCTATTTACTTTATGTATATGAGTGCTCTATCTGAATGTATGACTTTTTGCCCCAAGAGAACGTCAGATCCCATTCTAGATGGTTGTGAGCCACCATGTGGTGCTGGGGTTTGAACACAGAACCTCTGGAAGAACAGCCAGTGTTCTTAACTGCTAAGCTGTCTTTCAAGCCCTTGTCTTCTGCTATGTAGCCAGCTGCCCTCAAACACTTTATGTAAACTTTGCTGGTCTCAATTTTGCAACAATCCTCCAGCCTCTGCTTCCTAAATGCTGGGACTACAGGTGTGAGCCACCATGCCCAACAGAATATCCGATTTTTAAATTATCTAGTTGTCTGTCTGTCTGTCTCTCTGTCTGTCTATCTATGAAATAGGGTCTCACTGTGTATTTCTGGCCAGCCTGGAACTTGTTTTGTAGACCAGGCTGGCCTTGAACTCAATGATACCTGCCTACCTCTTCCTCTCTAGTGCTGGGATTAAAGCTGTGTGCCACTACAACCAGCCCCCAGAATACTCTTATTTTTGAAATTGCTGTTTGAACTGCCAACATATTAAAAGAATTTTTACCTGGGATTAGAACAGAATTTCCAACAATTTCCAAAATGGCCCCTAACGTGCCTTTGCTGTATATCTGCAAGGCAGTGTTCTCAACATTGATGATGATGATGATGATAAAATCAAAACAATCAACTCTGAAAACACTGAGGATGCTCTGTGTCCTGTAGTATCAAATATTTAGTCAATATTTAACTCTTTATGTTAAAAATAAACATATCACCTCATTAGGATGCAAGTTGATTTTCATCTTTAATAAATGATGAAAATATACATATACCAAATACTTATTTTAAAATAAATTTCTCTATGCATTGTACACCCACTTTATATACCTATGTATATCTGGGGTCATGGAAAAAAATGGATAAAAAGTTGTGAGTACAAAATGTTTAAGAAAGCCAGGCGTTGGTGACACATGCCTTTAATCCCAGCACTCGGGATCTCTGTGAGTTCGAGGCCAGCCTGGTCTACAGAGCGAGTTCCAGGACAGCCTCCAAAACAATGCAGAGAAACCCTGTCTCGGAAGAAAAAAAAAAAAGCATGTTTAAGAAGTCCTGCCCTAGACTTAAACTTTGTCTGTAGGCTGCCTATGGGGGATCTCTGGTTAGCTATGCAAGCTTACACCTTAAAAATTCTCACTAAGAGTGGCACCCCATTAATGAGACTACCTCTCAAGAGAAAGACATTACTGGGAAAGGATGGGGTGTAGTTCAGTGCTGTAGCACTTACTTAGCATGTGCAAGATCTTGGGTTCAATCCCCAGCACTGGGGGGAAATAGAAGTAAGCCACTGAATCTCTTGTTCCCCCAGCTATCACAGAGTGTGACGTTGGCCAGAATGCTGCCCCGGCAGGCCCGCAAGTTCTCATACATCCTGTTTCCAAAAATTCCTCTTCCCTTTGATGCCTTTCCCAGCAGCTGGGTCTGTCTGGAATTGCTTTCCTCTATTGAGTCCCAGCAATGCAGCAGCAATGCAGTGCCCTTCAGCAATCCAGTGCCCTTCAGCAATGCAGTGCCCTTCAGCAATGCAGTGCCCTTCAGCAATCCAGTGCCCTTCAGCAATGCAGTGCCCTTCAGCAATGCAGTGCCCTTCAGCAATCCAGTGCCCTTCAGCAATCCAGTGCCCTTCAGCAATCCAGTGCCCTTCAGCAATCCAGTGCCCTTTTCCAGAGTGCTGTCTTCTAAGCCAGATCAGAGTCTCTCACAGGGATCCAAGGTTGTTGCAGAAGACAGAGGAAGAAAGGAACTCCTTAGACTGGTGCGAGGGACCTGGACACATCTCATCACCCTCTGAGCTTCAGTTCTCTTGCCTGACTGGGCACATGGAAGGTTTGACACCATGACATGAAAATGGCCCTGTATTCATTATTTTTTTGTTATGACCAAATGCCTGACAAGAGCAACTTAAGGGAGGAAGGCTTATGTTGGCCCATAGTTTGAAGGGATGCAGTCTATCATGGAGGGGAAGGCATGGGGGGAGGTTGCTCTGTTCCACAACTCCAAGCTGTCCACGCTGGGACCCCTCACTTCCTAAAATTCTGACCAGCCTGGAAGGGATGAAGTGACTCTAGAAACACTGAGCTTTACTTTGGCTGTCATACAACTGAAACAATGAATCCCAAGAGATTGTAATTTCTCCCATGAAGCTCATGCTGGCAGAAGACTGTCTGTGCTTCCAAAGGACCTGGGCTTGATTCCCAGCACCCATATAGCAGCTCCCAGTTCCAGAGAATCTAATGTGCTCTTCTGACCTCTGTGGGCACCAGGCATGCATGTGGTATGTGGATGTACATGCAGGTGAAACACCATAAACATAAAGTAAAATTAAAGAAAATGAAAAAGCCTAGAGCTTGGGCTAGCTAAAACCTGAAAAAGGTTTGCAGGCCACCCTGCAAGAGAGTGGCACCAATACAGTGATAGGAGGACCATGTCTTGATCAGGACTGCTTAGCAGTCTTCTAAATGCAGACTTCTAAATGCAGTCCTGGTCAAGACCCGGGCCCTCTACTTACCGCTTAACCTTACCTAAGACTTCTAAAATGCACTTGAGTGGGGGAGGGGTCACTGGATCTCTCTCTTCCCAATGTGGCCACATTGCATAAGTCCCCCATTTCTTTCTCACTATTAATTTGGCTCTTTTAATTGGCTTGGTGGGATGCAGAGTGTGACCCTAAATCCAGTAATAACATGTAGGTGGAACAGAGATAAGAAGTGGAGAGGAAGAGGATCCCAGATGAGAATAAAATGCCCTGAAGATTCCTTCACAGTGCCAGTGCACGCCTTTATTCCCAGCGCTCCAGAGGCAAAGGCAGGTGGATCTCTGTGAGTTCGAGGCCAGCCTGGTCTACAAAGCTACACAGAGAAACCCAATCTCGGGGAAAAAAAAGGATTTTCTAACAGTGATCCACTTCCTCCAGTGAGGCATCATATCCTAAAGTCATAGTTTCCTCAAACACACCATTATCCAGAGGCCAAGTGTTCAAATCTATGAGAGTATAGGGGACATTTCATATTCAAGCTGCAGCCATGTGGAAACAGCTGTGTGCATATCCCTCTCCGACTAGGAGCTCTGGGTGACAGCAGTCTGTGTGACAACGCTGCATACTTGGCAGTGTGTGACAGCAGTCTGTGTGATGACATTGCATACTTGGCAGTGTGTGACAGTGGTCTGTGTGATGACACTGCATACTTGGCAGTGTGTGACAGCGGTCTGTGTGATGACACTGCATACTTGGCAGTGTGTGACAGCGGTCTGTGTGATGACACTGCATACTTGGCAGTGTGTGACAGTGGTCTGTGTGATGACACTGTATACTTGCAGTGTGTGACAGTGGTCTGTGTGATGACACTGCATACTTGGCGGTGTGTGACAGTGGTCTGTGTGATGACACTGCATACTTGGCGGTGTGTGACAGCGGTCTGTGTGATGACACCTTATACTTGGCAGTGTGTGACAGCGGTCTGTGTGATGACACTGCATACTTGGCAGTGTGTGACAGTTGCCTGTGTGATGACACTGTGTACTTGGCAGTGTGTGACAGTGGCCTGTGTGATGACATTCCATATTTGCAGTGTGTGACTGCGGTCTGTGTGATGACACTGCATACTTGGCAGTGTGTGACAGTGGTCTGTGTGATGACACTGTATACTTGCAGTGTGTGACAGTGGCCTGTGTGATGACACTGTGTACTTGTCAGGGTGTGACAGTGGTCTGTGTGATGACACTGCATACTTGCAGTGTGTGACAGCCATCTGTGTGATGACACTGCATACTTGGCAGTGTGTGACAGCAGTCTGTGTGATGACATTGCAACTTGCAGTGTGTGACAGTATTCTGTGTGATGCTGCATACTTGCAGTGTGTGACAGTTGTCTGTGTGATGACACTGCATACTTGCAGTGTGTGACAGCGGTCTGTGTGATGACACTGTATACTTGCAGTGTGTGACAGCGGTCTGTGTGATGACACTGCATACTTGGCAGTGTGTGACAGCGGTCTGTGTGATGACACTGCATACTTGGCAGTGTGTGACGGCGGTCTGTGTGATGACACTGCATACTTGCAGTGTTTGACAGCGGTCTGTGTGATGACACTGTATACTTGGCAGTGTGTGACAGCAGTCTGTGTGATGACACTGCTACTTGCAGTGTGTGACAGCGGTCTGTGTGATGACACTGTATACTTGCAGTGTGTGACAGTAGTCTGTGTGATGACACTGCATACTTGGCAGTGTGTGACAGCGGTCTGTGTGTTGCTGCATACTTGGCAGTGTGTGACAGCAGTCTGTGTGATGACATTGCATACTTGCAGTGTGTGACAGCAGTCTGTGTGATGACACTGTATACTTGGCAGTGTGTGACAGCTGTCTATGTGATGACACTGCATACTTGCAGTGTGTGACAGTAGTCTGTGTGATGACACTGCATACTTGGCAGTGTGTGACAGCGGTCTGTGTGATGCTGCATATTTGGTAGTGTGTGACAGCGGTCTGTGTGATGACACTGCATACTTGGCAGTGTGTGACAGCGGTCTGTGTGATGCTGCATATT